CTTTGGCTTGGCATTGTGTTAGAGACATACAAAGTGTGTCTAATAAAATGCCCTATGTTGAATTTCTATTTAAAAGCAGGTATTAAGACAAAGGATAACATTGTCTAGAAGAATTATATAAGTAATGAAAAGAAAAAAAAATACACACAACACATATTTATCCAGCAGAATGTCAAATGCACTTTTTGTAGAAATTGCACACTTGGCAGCCTATGATTACTTTTCACAATATACGTGCCTTACCATGAAATACCACAAAGAATGCCTTGGGCCTTCCACCTATGAGCTGTCATATCTACGGACACAGAAAACTGGAAAATACAGGATTGACTTGTTGATTTGCATTTGTATTTAACATAATACCGGGCAAGGAGGGGTGCTCAATAAATACTTATTTGTATAGCCTTTTACCCCGTTAGCTAATTACCTATCAGCCTCTGTGAAACAGAAACGAAAAACAATGAATCTTATGCACACCAGAGTGGAGCCTAAAATACCTGAAATGCTAACAAGAAAGCCGCTGTATTAGGCAGCCAGTGTTCACAGGTGTATCAAATTGCCCAGTCACAGTAGCTGTCCCAGTTAACCAACTTCAGTAGCTCCTGCCCCCAGGCTGAGCTTGCAGTGGAGAATGGCTCGCCATTACAAACCTACGGACACTGGGAATGATCTGTGGAGAAACAGGCTGTGCAGTCAGCCGGGGTGAAGACGTAAGAAGAGGACAAGAAGACCACTAATAAAGGTTTCCTGTAGGAGTTCGTGTCTGAGAAAGAATGGATAGTAGACCTAAGACATGGTGGAATCCGTTTTGTTTTCCAAGGAATCCTCCAAGTTCCCTGTGGTGGATTGCCAATCAGACCACACCATGTCTACTCCACCTTCCCCTGGGATTTCTGCCCAGCAAGAGACATGGTCGCCATGAGCCCTGCTTTGGGGCACCTCATAAAGCTCATTGCGACTTTCTCAGAACTATATAGAAGGTGGGGATCATGGTGCTTAGAGAAGAACCACTCCCCACAAAATGCTGGCGGCTAGCTAGGGTTCAAGTGATTAGCTCAAATCCACAAATCTGAGCAGCAGAAAGAGGTTTCCAGACCTTACTTACCGTGAGTGCTCAGATATACTACCCTGCTTCACCCCCACGTTATCTGAATTACAATGACCCTGCTATGAAATTGTGAGGTTCCTGAAGGCTATTCTGAAATCTATAACAGTTCACTGTTTATTCAAGAATATTATATTCTCATCATCAAAACTCTATCTGGAAAAGCGATAGCCCTAAAGTATAAATGGCTTTGTGTACCAGGATAAGTCTCGGAACCCAGAAGAGACTCAGGAAAGGGCCGGCATTCTCAGCACTTGATACAAAATTTATTTTCCTCAACAAAGCAAGAATACACCGTTGAATAAAAGTCGATACATCACTATGTAAACACTAATGTGATAATGTATCCTTAATCTTTTTTTAAAAATATATTTTATTGATTTTTTACAGAGAGGAAGGGAGAGAGATAGAGAGTGAGAAACATCGATGGGAGAGAAACATCGACCAGCCGCCTCCTGCACATCTCCCACTGGGGATGTGCCCGCAACCCAGGTACATGCCCTTGACCGGAATCGAACCTGGGACCCCTCAGTCCGCAGGCTGACGCTCTATCCACTGAGCCAAACCGGTTTCGGCAATGTATCCTTAATCTTAGTGCGTTAAAGCTATTTTATATTTATTGATCTAAAAGTAGGTCATTTGAGGTTTTGCCATAAACACTTCATGACGTTGTCAAGTTTCTATTTCTCAGGAGAAAAGATATCATTCAGGAAGACCCCTTATGCGCTTCTTTTGATGCCTGGTTAAATGGAATGTTTCCTCAAAAATATGTTGTATCAAGTAATAAACATAAGCATTAAATTCATATTATCCAAACTCATTCATAAAACTCACTCTTCAAAATGTGGGAAAAGGCATTTTTTCAGGGCCTTTCGTTTTCCTGAAAAGTAGTAATGATATGGAGCGCCTATACCAGACACTGGAAAGACTGCTACTTAAGAGAATTTTTTTATTAAATATACTGGAGAAGTTGCCCCTAAGAAAACCCTTAGTTTATATTTGTATACATCCATATTATTTGTATCAAATTTGCCCGACTTCTGAAGCTGAAGTAATCAAGGAATGGAAAACAGTTGTCTTCCAAGTCAGGTGCGACAGCTCAGTGGACACAGATGTAACAAGTGGAACATTAACAATATGCCTAGAAAGATCTACAGGCACTTCTGTATTTTGATCTTGCCTTTAGCGATGCAGGAACTATATAACATAATGCAGCAGGGCTCTGGGAGGGCATCCTGGGTAGCAAGCTCCGTTTTCTCTTTCAGTAATGAATTCCTTCGTGAAAGAGAAAGATTCTTCTTTGGTCCTATCTCTTCACAGCTTGCTTTTCATTCTGCTACACTTCCTAAAACCTATTTTAAAAAATAACCTTTTCCCCGCTCCTATACAATCAAGTTTCTGTACAACTCATTTTCATTCAGTCCCACAGTTCTCCCCTGAAACCCCCTCATGAATCCAGAAATCTTTACAAAAGTATCTTGTTTCCCTTTAAATAAATATCAAGACTAGAATGACAGTGCAACGTAGTGACCCTAAATTTTATGCCACCAACAGGCATTAAACATGCATGAACTTTTAAAGAGGTGCTAAACTTCGCCAGCAAGGAGAACAATAATTCAATGAAGGTTTCTTTTTCTTTTTCTTTCTCATTTAATTAATTTTCTTTTTCTTTTTAAAAAAATATATATTTTATTGATTTTTTTACAGAGAGGAAGGGAGAGGGATAGAGAGTTAGAAACATCGATCAGCTGCCTCCTGCACACCCTCTACTGGGATGTGCCTTCAACCAAGGTACATGCCCTTGACCGGAATCGAACCTGGGACGCTTCAGTCCGCAGGCCAACGCTCTATCCACTGAGCCAAACCGGTTAGGGCTAATTAATTTTCTTAAAAAAAAAAAAAAATCTTTATTGTTGAAAGTATTACATAGGGCTTCCTTTCCCCCACCCCATTAACCCCTTCCAGACCGCTCCCGCCCCTCCCTCCCCATGAAGGTTTCTGAGTAGCTTTTTATTATTGTTTAAGAATAAGCGAATTTTAACATTATTCACAACACAGCACTTATATGCTATAAGAGAAAAGTTCTTTATTGCTTCAGAAATTACTTATACAAGTTTACACTCCCTTATCTGAACTTTTGGCCTGATATATTTCAGAATTCAGAACTTTTACTAGAAAGGCGTGTCTGCCACATATTAGATAACCTCTCCAACGAGGGCTGGAACTGCACTGCGGTCTGCAGGAAGCTTACGGCTATTCACACCAAGTGAATATGTATTTATACATAGCCTCAGTTCCCTTCGGGTCAGATTTCATCAAGGGAGTTAGGAAAGATAAAGGATTGGGACCTTCGATCTGACATGTTAACTTGAAATCTTGTTCTTAATATTTGATATCTAGTTTAGAGCCACTGTACATTACTGTTGTTTCTTTTTTTAAAAAAAAAAAAATTTATTGATTTTTTACAGAGAGGAAGGGAGAGGGATAGAGAGTCAGAAACATCGATCAGCTGCCTCCTGCACACCCCCTACTGGGAATGTGCCTGCAACCAAGGTACACGCCCTTGACCGGAATTGAACCTGGGACCCTTCAGTCCGCAGGCCGACGCTCTATCCACTGAGCAAACCGGTCAGGGCTCACAACATACACAGTGTATTTAAAATGAAACAGTCTATTTTATTTCAGGAAGTAAATGTAAACTAGATTAACCTGTGAAACTAAGTTAACTACATTATGATCTTCCTCTAGTCTAGAACTTGCCTAGTTCCACTCTGGTTAAAAAACTCTTATTTTTTGGCGCGATCGTACATGACTTCCAGCTTGCAGTGCGAGCATCCCTGGGGCTCCCGGGACCTTCGGCACCGTGCAGACCCGCGCAAGGGCAGGGAGGCGGGGATGGGCTGCAGCACGCCCCGCGGGCGAACTCCCGCCTCCGCGGGTGAAGGTGAGAGAGGCAGGTGGGGACGCGTGGCGGTTCCCGCACAGGGCGAACAATGAGATTCCTTTAGAAGGCGTTGGCATCACTTCTTGCTGTTGGGGTGGCGGAAAAAGTCGCTCTGGGAGGGGGAGGAGCGGCTGGTAAACCCGAGATGTGGCTGCAAGAGGAAGGGAAACGGGGCGCCGAGCCTTGAGCAAGTTGGGTAGTAATGGGTCAGGGCCATCGTGTCCCGCGCCCGTCCCACAGGGTTGGGTATCTGTGTGGGTGGCGCGGGGGGCCGGGGGGGGGGCGAGACCCGCCGTGTCGGGGCCTGGGCGCTGTGCTCCGCCGGCAGCGAGTCACTGAGCGCCGCCAGGCCGGGTCGCACCGTTCGCCCGCATCCTCCGGGCTTTCCCAGGCCCGCAGCCTGGAGCCCGCCCAGCCCGAGGCGCCCGCGGGAGGCGGGGTCGGTCCCGGCAGAGCGCAGGCTCGGCCCGGCCCCGCCTTCGAATGGGGGCGGGACCTTCTGGGCTTCCACCCAATCCCCGCTCCCCGGTGGCCGAGGGGGCGGGCCCTCGCAGCTTTCCACCCAATCCCCGCTCCCCGGTGACCTTAAGGTAGCGGGCTGATGCGGGTGTCGGCGGCGGCGGAATGGGCGAAGGGCGCGGAGTGAGTGAGGCCCCCGAGACTGCGCTCCCCGTTCCCCGAAGCTGCCCCGGGGTGGGGGGCAGTTCAATGGTGCAGAACCGAGTTACATAGTGTAGGCGGGGCAGGGGCCAGGGCTCGGCCTGGTGGGGTCAGCAGGCGTCTTGCCTGCGGGGTCGGGGAGGTACCCCCGGTGTCGGCCGCCGGGCGGGTCCGTCGCGATGCTGGGTTAGATTTCTCTCCGTCGGTGGCGTCCCGAGGGTGCAGAGCTGACCTTGGTTGGAGGGCGGAGTCTCCGAGCTCGGGTCGCTCTCTGCGCCTCCGTCTCTAGAGCCCAGCCTTGAACTCTGTCGCCCTGTACCCTGTGGACCCAATGGAGGGCAGTGCGGTTGTTTGCGAACTAGTGAGCCGTGTAGTAGTTTTTATCCGATTCTCTAGCAGATGGACTTTTGGAGTATGTTTGCTGTGCTTTCCCCAAAAGTTTGAGTCGTGGGGCCTCCCAACCTCTAGATTGTCTGTCTTCTACCTTCTTTCACCAGTTTTTGCCAATACTACCCCCCCCCCCCCACCATCCGCAATTATTGACTTTCTTTCTTCCCACAGTCACCAGCCTAGTTCAGCTCCCGTGATCTGAAAACAGAATTGTTGCAACAGGCTCCTGGAACTCCTAAACAACTCCTCTTGGTGTTCTGGTATGTGGCAATCAGATTATTATTATTATTGTTATTATTTTTACTTCTTGTTCCTGGTTCTCTTTTCCACTTTGATTTTACATCTTTTCGCTCCTAGGAAGCCCACTATAATGAAATCCAGTGTCGTCATTTTCTTATTGCACATATAGGTTCTTTTGGAATTATGTTATTTAATTTAATCTTTATGATTGAGGATTTAAAAAGCATCCTTCATGAAAGAATCTGATAATTCTTATTTTAATGTGTACCTCTTGGTTAGTTAAGACTTGAGTGGGTATGGAATTGGTATCCTTGGTCTCAGTTTCCTAAAGGCTGAGGAATATAGAGAATAGCTTTTCTATATATGTGTACTAGGTTCCTATTGCTGCCATAACAATTTATCACAAACTTAATAAAAAAACCCACGAATTTATTATCTCACAGCTTCTGTAGATCAGAAGCCCGGGTGGGTACTCGGCCTAGTATCTCACAAAGCTGAAGTGAAGGTTTCTTTAGGTGCAGGTTCTTGTCTGGGGGCTCTGGGAGAGAACCCACCTCCAGGAGGCCCATTGAGGTTGTTGGCAGAATTCATCTCCCTGCAGCTGTAGGACAAAGGTTCCCATTTCCTTCCTGGCTGTCAGCCGGGGCCTCTCTTCCTTCCATAAGACCTCCTGCCAGAGAACACCTTTTGTGGTTTTAATCTCTCGGACTCTTCTGTCACCAGCTGGAGAAAGCTTTCTGCTCCTAAAGGCTCAAGTGATTCGATGAAGCTCACCTGATAATCTCCCTATTTTAAGGTTGATTGTGCTGTGTAAAATAACAAAATCACAAGCATGGAAGTGAAAATCTCATATTCACAGGTTCTGTGGGTTGGGGTGGGAGGGTGGGTACCAGGGGGGCATTCATAGAAATTCTGCCTAGCTAGCATAATATGGTCATCTGAACCGGATTATTTTTATTTTGTGCAGTGTTAAAAAAACAAAACCTCACAACAGCTTTGTTTGATTATATGATTACTAGAGGCCAGGTGCATGATATTCGTGCAGGGCTGGGGGAGGTGGGGTAGGGGGCGGTCCCTCAGCCCAGCCTGCGCCCTCTTGAAATCCAGGACCCCTCTCGTAGGGTCCCTAGGCCTGGCCAGGGATCAGGGCCTATGGGGACTTTCCTTCCCCCGGCTGCCCGCAGCTGGCCCCGCCCCTACCGCTGCCACTGCTTGCCATCTGTGCAGTGCTGCCCCCCTCCCCCCCAATCTCCCTCTGTGGGAAACAGGTGTGAGGTGCAGTTGCTTGGCTTGCCTGGGCCTCCCTCTGCAGGGCGATTAATCATGGAGACCTCCCCCTCCCCCCCATCGCCCTGCAGAGGGTGGCCTGGGCCTCCTTCTGAGGGGCGATCGTGGCGCTGCCCCCCCCCCCCCCCCCCAGCTCCACCAATTGCATTGCACCTGTCTTGGCTGGCCTGGCACCAGTGCGTGTCATAGCGTGGTCACTCAGAAGGTCATCCAGATGGTCATTCTGCTGTTCGATGGGTCATTCTGCAGTTCGGTTGTTTGGTCGATTTGCATATTACGCTTTGATTATTATAGATGCTCTCTACAGTTAAGGAAATGGAGTTAAAGTTAGTTGCCCATGGACACATGTCTAGAAAGTGCAGAGTTGGTATTTAAACCCAGATCTACATTTCCATTAGGTCTAAAGCCATGTTTATGGGTAGTCAAAGTGAAGTGCAGTGAAAGTCATCAGACAGGAAGAGGCTAAGGAACTGTGAGAGCTCTATTGTATCACATTTTTGGATTATATCTTTTTATTAGTGGTATAGGCTAAGCTCTTCTACCCTAACAAAGGAAACCCAAAATACAATGGTATAAATAAAAGCTTTTTTGGTTTTTCTTTTCATAAATCTAGAGGGAGGAGTACAGGGCTAGTAGGAAGATTCTGACAACGTCATTACAAGCATCCTTTGTTTTATTTCGCTTCACAGATTTTTTTACAAATTGAAGGTAAGACCCACTACCAGCAAAAAGATTACAACTCACTTTATTGCAGTGGTCTGGAACCGAACCCCCACAATATCTCTGAGGTATGCCTGTACATTATGTACATGGCTTCCATAAATGGGCCCAAGGTGCTCTTCCAGTTGGGACTACCTGCTAGGCAGTGAGGAGACAAAGCATATGTAACCCTTTCTAGGGTCATGACCTGGAGGTGACACACCCATCACAAAGCCATGCTGAGCTCCAAGGGAGGGTGGGAGAGCTATAGCTATGTAGCTACATGTCCAGCAAAAAACTCGAGATTCTGTTAAGAAAGAAGGGGAAATTATATTGGCTAAAAAGAATCTCTACCATACCCTTGTTTTTGATGTTTTTATTCTGTAACCTCCTATGAGTGGAATATTTTGTTTGTCTTTGATATTAGTTTTAAAAGGCAGTATTTGAAAGAAGAGGGAATTCTTACTCAATATTAGGGGTCCTTGATTTCTCAATTGCTATTTTAATATATAATTACTTTATAAAGGCTTTTTTGAGAAATCTCATTTTTCATTTAGCACTTGTATGCCTCATTCACACTTTGGGTTAGTTTGAATTTTCTGATGAAAATTAGTACAGTTGTGGAAAATGTTCAAGATTGCTTTGGGAAACTTGAAACCATTCTGTGTAAGTCTCATACCATCTGCACAATTAGATTACAGAAGTTTGTCATGTGATTTTATGTATTCTGTAATATTCTTAGATATTTGCTCTCCAAAGTTCTCTCAGTCCATTATCCTCTTCTATACATCTGAATTCTACCTACCCATTTAGATCTACTGCAGGTCCCCTCCCCACTATTATGTAGCATTGTATAGGGGGAGGACTGTAGTCACAGTTCTGGATTTGAGTTGTTTGTTTGATCTGAGGCAAGTTACCAAATCTGTCTGAGTTTTAGTTTCTTCATTTGTAAAATGGCAGTGAATGCCACCTTTCAGAAATAATATGGATTTTAGGGAGATAACACATGTTCTGTAACGCCTACTGCAATATTTAACAAATAGAAGGTGCCCAGTACATGATAATTTTCCTGGTCCCACTGCTTACTCCTTGACTTCTAGCACTTTGAGTTGTAGGGAGGAAAAATACTTCTTTTTTTATTTTATTTTATTTTTTTTTATTGCTTAAAGTATTACAAAGAGTATTACATATGTCTCCTTTTTTTCCCCCCCGCCCTTGACAATCCCCTGGCCTCCCCTACCCCCAGTGTCTTATGTCCATTGGTTATGCTTATATGCATGCATACAAGTCCTTTGGTTGATCTCTTACCCACCCCCCTTCTGCCCTCCTACCCTCCCCGGCCTTCCTGCTGTAGTTTGACAGTCTGTTCGAGGCAGCTCTGCCTCTGTATCTATTTTTGTTCATAAGTTTATAATGGTCTTTATTATCCAGAAATGAGTGAGATCATGTGGTATTTTTCCTTCATTGACTGGCTTATTTCACTTAGCATAAGGAAAAATACTTCTGCCATTCTAAATTCTTCGATTTGGTCCAATAATCAAATTGACATGAAACAGAGTAACAGGAGAACGTAATCAAATTTATTACGTATATACATACTGAGGTTCTGTAAGAATGTGGGCCCTGAGGACAGGTCTGGCAGTTAAGGCTTATTTGCCATCTTGAGCTAAAAAGAAGTGGGAGGTTGTGGTGTGGGGCTTCCAAGGGCAGGGAGGCAATTAACATGGAGATAGGAAAGCAAGTGTTTGGTAAATGAATGTTTGCTGGGCTATCTTTAGCAATGATCACACTTAACTTATATCTATATCTATATCTATCTATCTATCTATCTATCTATCTATCTATCTATCTATCTATCTAAAAGGCTAAGTGCCCTGTATATCACACTTAACTTATATCTGTATATATAAAAGGCTAAATGACCGACAGTCTGTTCGACTGACGAGCTGGTACATATGACATGCACTGGCAATTTAAAAATAAACGTTGACTCGTGCATATAAAGCTCTCGATACATATAAAGCTCTTGCTGGTGCCAGTCGCACGCATGTGTTTCGATCTGTCATTGTCGATCGTGAATTTGGTTGATACTTCTATTATAGAGAAAGGGTGAATAGCGATATTAAAATATTTCTTCTAATTAATTTCCTTTCAATGTGCATGAATCCATGCACCAGGCCACTAGTTTAATTATAGTTATCTATTACTGTCCTCCCTGAAGCAGGTCCTCTATCAACTTCTTTTAGGTTGTTTGAAGGAATGTCAAAGTTTTTCCTGAATCTTTTGTTTCTTAAAAATAACGAGCTTAAAATAATCAATATCCCAAAAAAGGCATATTTTGGGGTGGCAAGCTTGGCTTTCCTTCAGAGTCTATACTTCTTAAAAATAGGTTCTCTCACTGACAAGTTTATGAAATTATTAAGGATGAGGACCAAGCCCTGGCTATACTGTGGTACCTAAATACTGATTTAGTGAATTGGACCTACCATATATAAAAATATTTATGAGGTTGAAGTTGTGAGTGCTGTCTTTTTTTTTTTTTTTTTTTAAGTTTTCCTACTGTGATTGCATCATGGAAAATCAATTGGCTAAGTCAACTGAGGAACGAACATTTCAGTACCAGGATTCTCTTCCATCACTGCCTGTTCCTTCACTTGAAGAATCATTAAAAAAATACCTTGAGTCAGGTATGTTTGTAATCTTTTAGTATAACTATTGTTAGCAACTTAAAAAACTATGAAATTGTTAGAAGTCGATGAAGATCTAATTGCTTTTTCTTTTAGACTCATGATAATTAAATATCCTTAAAATGTCCAAATGTTTCTCTTACGTTAATTTTTCCATAGTTTAAAAAGTCAGATAGTACCATTAGGCTTACAATAAAAAGTAGTAGTTCTTTGCCTCATCCTCCCACCCTCTGCAAATTCCACTTTCTCAAGCTAGCATATTCAAATAATTTATCTGTTCTTGTGTTATCTCCAGGCTTAAACTTCTTATGCTACTATTGCATGGATTTTTTGGTTGTTGATATTATGAATTAGTTCCTAAAAATATGTGGATTTAGCTCTCTTACGCCCTCTAACCTCTCCCCCTCCCCAACATATATGCAATTCAACATACCCACATTTTCCCTCTCATTTTCTCAATATAGTTGTACAAATCACCAGTTGGGATTAAATTAGTATTCACCTGATTTAACTTAGGGTTTCACCTGATACAGATCAGTATTTACCTGAATCGATTGAGCTGACCATTTAGGGCAGCAGCTCTCAACCTGTGGGTCGTGAACAATGAAAATACATCCTGCATATCAGATATTTACATTATGATTCATAACAGTAGCAAAATTACAGTTATGAAGTAGCAACGAAAATAATTTTATGGTTGGGGGTCACCACAACATGAGGAACTGTATTAAAGGGTCGCGGCATTAGGAAGGTTGAGAACCACTGATTTAGGGTTTATGGTTTTGCAGTTATTCGCATGAGAACCATTTGGTGAACTTTGATTACCTTTTTGCTGCATCCTGCCCCTGCCTCCCCTCCCCCCCCATTTTTCATTTGCTTAGTTTACTTTGTATTCACAATGAATTCACTCCCAAACACTTTAATACACTGAGAATCTCTGAATATATTTAAATACATAAGATATTCTTTCAGCTTCATTTTTTTCTTGAAGGCAACCCTACTGACACCTCTACCCTCCTGCTCCAATCAGCGTTTCTAGAGCTGGTGGGGCAACTGTTGTCCTAGGACAGTGATGGCGAACCTATGACACGCGTGTCAGAGGTGATACGCGAACTCATTTTTTTGGTTGATTTTTCTTTGTTAAATGACATTTAAATATATAAAATAAATATCAAAAATATCTTTGTTTTACTATGGTTGCAAATATCAAAAAATTTCTATATGTGACACGGCACCAGAGTTAAGTTAGGGTTTTTCAAAATGCTGGCACGCCGAGCTCAAAAGGTTCACCATCACTGTCCTAGGGCTTTCCTTTGGTCATCATCCTGGCAGCTCTCTTCCCCCCTCCTCTGTTGGATCCCTTGGCTCTTGGATTCTGTCTTCCTCTTTTTTCCCCTTTCTCTTCTCAGGTTGTAGTGCAGTACATCTTCAGTAGCCACTTGAGAAAGGGTGTCTGGGAGGAAAATAATGTAGGACCTAAAAAACATTTCTTCTGCCTTCATGCTTGATGGTTTGGAAGAATGTAGAATTCTTGGTTGGAAATGATGCTTTTAAAGCATTTTGAAGGCACTGTCTGTTCTTGAGAAGTCTAATGCTGTTCTGGTGTTCAGTCCTTTAATATGTGATCTATTGTTTTTTACTGTCTGGCTACCTCTTTTTTTATCCCTACCATTCTGAATTTCTCAATGATGTCGCTTAGTATGTAGGTTTCTTTTATTTCTCTGAATACCCAATGGGTTCTTTTAGTTGAAAAAGTTAATATTCTTTAGTTCTAGGAAATTTTTGAAATATTTCGTTGGTAGTTTTTTCCTCACTTCTTACTTTCTGTTTCTGGAACTATTGTTGCTCTGATCCGGATCCTTCTAGGCTAAGCTTTGAATTTTAAAATGTTTCCCTTCCGTTATTAGTGTATTAATTGCTGTTGAGTCAGCTTTGACTCCTGGCGACTGTGAATGAGTGATGTCCACAATGGCTCAGCTCCTGTAGACTCATGCCTGTGGCTTATTTTACGCAGTCAGTCCCCCCTGGTCTTCCTCTTTTCCTCTTGTCATCTATTTTCCCAGTTCTATTGTCTTGTCCAAAGAACCCTGCCTTCTCATGATGTGCCCAAAGTAGGGCAGATGCAGTTTTGTCCTTTTTTCCTCCAGTGATATTTCAGGCAAACTACCGGATCCACTTGTTCTTCCTTTCTGGTGGCCCAGAGTATCCATAGAGCTCTCCTCCAACACCATGTTTCAAATGAATCAGTTTTTTTTCCTGTCAGCCTTTTTCACTGTCCAACTTTTGCACCCATATATGGTTATTGGAAATACAAGGGTGTGGATGATCTAAGTATTGGTCTCTAATGACACAGCTTTGCTTTTGGTGATCTTTTCTAATTCTTTCATTGCTGCCCTTCCAAGTCTCCACATTCTCTTGATTTCTTGGCCGCAGTCTCCATTTGAATTGCTGACTGAGCCAAGGTAAGCAAAACCTTAACAATGTCAATATCTTCATTGTCTTTGTTAAAGTTGTGTATTTCTTCTATAGTTATGATTTTTGCCTTGCTGGTCAAATATAGACCTGCTTTGGCATTTTCTTCTTTCACTTTCATCAGAAGTCCTTTTAAATCATTGCGACTTTCTGCCAGTGAGATGGTGTCATCTGCATATTTTAAATTATTGATAGTTCTTCCACCAATTTTCACTCCTCCTTCCTTTGAATCTAGACCAGTTTTTTTGTATGATATGCTCTGTGTACAGGTTAAACAAATAGGGAGACAAAGTGTACCCTTGCCTGATACCTTTGCCTGTAGGAAACTCTCTGGTCTCTCTCTGTTCTGCCCTGACAGAGGCTTCCTGTTCACTATACAAGTTATGTGTCAGGACGATCAAATGCTGACGCACGCCATTTATTTTAGAGCAACCAATAGCTTTTTACGATTGATGTAGTCAAAGGCTTTATTGAAGTCTATAACACATAGACTAACCTTTTGAAATTCTTTGGAGCACTCCAGTATCCAGCAAATGCCAAATGCTTGCAATTAGAATGCCTCTTCCTTTTCTGAATCCAGCTTGAACATCCAGCATTCCTGAAAGGTAAAAGTCTTTGCTGCATCACCCGGAGCATCACTTTACTTGTGTTCCTACACACCTTGGCATCTCCTTTCTTGAAAATTGGAATGTATAGTCATTATTAATGCCGTCACCTTTTTGGTCTGTTTACTCTTTGATATTACCAATCCTTTGTTAGTTCTCTCTGACTCATGTGACTTTCCTCAAATATCTGGCAAACCTTAGACATTCATATTTGAGTCAGACCCTAAAAAACTGAGTAGGAGCTCTGGGTGCATGGGTCTAAGGCAGCCGTGGGCAAACTACGGCCCGCAGGCCGAGTCCGGCCCGTTTGAAATGAATAAAACTAAAAAAAAAAAAGACCGCACCCTTTTATGTAATGATGTTTACTTTGAATTTATATTAGTTCACACAAACACTCCATCCATGCTTTTGTTCCGGCCCTCCGGTCCAGTTTAAGAACCCATTGTGGCCCTCGAGTCAAAAAGTTTGCCCACCCCTGGTCTAAGGGCGTGGTGACTAGTGAGCCTTAGAGTGAGCCTTCTAGGACAGTGGTTGGCAAACTGGGGCTCGCGAGCCACATGCGGCTCTTTGGCCCCTTGAGTGTGGCTCTTCCACAAAATACCACGTGCGGGCGCACATACAGTGCGATTGAAACTTCGTGGCCCATGCGCAGAAGTCGGTACCAGTACTCCTTTCTCTTATACTGATCAGCTTTACCAAAGAAGAATCCTGTTATCATTTGTTTAGAAGGCATAAGCCAGACTGCTGGTGTGTGGGGAGCTTAGAAGAGGGAAGGGGTTGGAGGACTTATTGTTCCGGGTATGCATTTTCATCATAATCCAGCCCTCTTTTTTCAGTTTGAACTAGAACCTAGGTATTCTGCTTGTCTGGTTTAACTTCTCCTGAGAGTAAACCTCCACATTTCTACTGGCATTGGAGGAAGTTCCCTGTCTTTTTATACAGATGCCAGTGTGGATAGGGCAATTGTGAGCTGCTTCTAAAGACTGTTTTCAGCCTCAGTTTGCCCCCTGCCTTTGGAATTACATGTGTCTTGAATTCTTGAGCCTTTCTAGGATTACATTGCAAGAATTGGCTTGCTTCTTGGTTTGTACCTAACTCGACCCTACCTCCCGCTTTAGATACTTTGCTTCATTCTACAAAGTCAGTTGCCATTTTCCCATGTATTTTTGTAATTTGTAAAATGTTAGCTTGATGTATCTACGGTCCTCTCTCTTTTTTTGTCCTGACAGATTTACTAGTATACCTTTTAAATTACTGTCATTTTAGTGATTTGCTAGAAGTAGTGGAGGTAAATCTATGTATTTAGCTCACTTTAACTGGAAGCCATTTGGTTTTTACATGATTTTTAAATTCTTTTTTTTTTTTTAAATTAAATCTTTATTGTTCAGATTATTACATTTGTTCCTCTTTTTTTCCCCCCCATAACTCCCCTCCTCCCAGTTCCCGCCCCACCCTCCGCCCTCACTCCCCACCCACTGTCCTCATCCATAGGTGCACGATTTTTGTTCAGTCTCTTCCCGCATCTCCCACACCCCTTTCCCCTCCAGGAATAGTCAGTCCATTCCCTTTCTATGTCCCTGATTCTATTATAATCACCAGTTCATTCTGTTCATCAGATTATTTATTCACTTGATTCTTAGATTCACTTGTTGATAGATGCATATTTGTTGTTCATAATTTGTATCTTTACCTTTTTCTTCCTCTTCCTCTTCTTAAAGGATACCTTTCAGCAATTCATATAATCCTGGTTTGGTGGTGATGAACTCCTTTAGCTTTTCCTTATCTGTGAAGCTCTTTATCTGACCTTCAATTCTAAATGATAGCTTTGCTGGATAAAGTAATCTTGGTTGTAGGTTCTTGGTATTCATCACTTTGAATATTTCTTGCCACTCCCTTCTGGCCTGCAAAGTTTCTGTTGAGAAATCAGCTGACAGTCGTATGGGTATTCCCTTGTAGGTAACTGAGTTTCTTTCTCTTGCTGTTTTTAAGATTCTCTCTTTATCTTTTGCTCTTGGCATTTTAATTATGATGTGTCTTGGTGTGGTCCTCTTTGGATTCCTTTTGTTTGGGGTTCTCCGCGCTTCTTGGACCTGTAAGTCCATTTCTTTCACCAGGTGGGGGAAGTTTTCTGTCATTATTTCTTCAAATAGGTTTTCAATATCTTGCTCTCTCTCATCTTCTGGCACCCCTATAATTCTGATGTTGGTACGCTTGAAGCTGTCCCAGAAGCTCCTTACACCATCCTCGCATTTTTGGATTCTTTTTTCATTTTGCTTTTCCGGTTGGGTGTTTTTTGCTTCCTCACATTTCAAATCATTGACTCGATTCTTGCGCTCCTCTGGTCTGCTGTTGGGAGTCTGTATAATATCCGTTATTTCAGTCCGTGTATGCTTAATTTCTAGTTGGTTCCCCAATATAAGATCGAGGGTCTCATTAGTTTTCTTGTAGATCTCATTAAGTTTATCGGCGGCTTCTAAACAGTTCTTGAGAGACCTTAAAAGTGTGGTTCTGAACTCTATATCTTCCATTGACAATTTTGTCCTGTTTCTTTGTCTCCGCATTTTGTTATGCTTCCTTGGTGCACCCCCTAGTGGTCTTTGTGCGCAGTCTTATAGTTAAATCTTGATTGTTGTAGCTAATTCCAGGGAGGGTTTGACCTCCAGGCCAAGTGGCTATGAGAATCAGCTGTGTCTGCAGTGAGAGAACTTCTGTCCTCTAGGGAGGTGCTAATCTAGCCTTTGCCTGAGGCTATCCGGCAAAAGCCTCTGTGCAGGGTTTGGGCGGGGCGGGTAGAACAGGATCAACAGGGTGGGCCGGAGAGAGCAGTTATGGCGGCTCTCAGTCCTGTCCCCAGGGGCTCTGCCTCTCTGAGTCCCAGCACCCACTGCAAAGCTCAGAGAGAAAGCTGCACTCGCTCTGACCGAAGCCAGACAGTCCCGCTTCTCCCGTTTGAGTCTGGGTCCCTAAAGACTCGCCGGGATCTGGAGCTCAGAGTCTGTGACTCCCTCCCGATTGAAAACGCCAACCGCGCCCTCCGCCGCCAGCCCGCTCCGCGCACTCCGCACCTCAGGATTTGACTTCAGCACTGCACCTCCTCTGAGTGTCCGTATGCGTTTCTCTTTCCTCCTAGTTGTAGGACTTCCACTCAGCCAGCGTTCCTGTGGTTCTGGGTGATGTCCCTTCCGTTTTTTGGTTTCACTTTTGAAGTAGTTGTTCAAAGCAGCAAACTCCGGTGTTAACCTATGCCGCCATCTTGGTTCTCCTACATGATTTTTAAATTCTTTTTCTCTCTTCTTTTTTCTCATTTACATTCACCTGGAAATTCTAGTATTTTTTTTTTAAATTCACTGATTAATCACTGTTTTTGATTATTCACTTGTACTCTTTATGCATACCGATATTTAAATTGATTTTAAGATAAGATTTTGAAAAAGCAAAATAAGACAAAAGGTAAATATTTATGTCCCAAGATTTCTAAAATTTGTAAAATACTTATAGATATAGTTTAATTTTCAGAGCACTAGGTTATGATGGATTAAGAACCCTGTATCTTTCTTTTTTCTTTTTCTTTTTCTTTTTCTTTTTCTTTTTCTTTTTCTTTTTCTTTTTCTTTTTCTTTTTTTTCTTCTTCTTCTCTCTCTCTCTCTCTCTCTCTCTCTCTCTCTCTCTCTCTCTCTCTTTTGTAAAGGAAACCATTACTGGCCACAGGGCACCAAGCACTATACTTTGGCAGGCATTATACTTGCACATTGCATTTCCAAGGCTCTGCTTGAACATTAGTAGAAAGATGCTTTAATTTCTCTTATTTGTAGCTCAACAGGATTTACTTTCCTATTGGACTGATAGCTACATGCTGGTCCTGCCTTTGTCATTTTAACTATCATCATCCATAATGATTTTAAAATAATTTTTTAGAAAATGGTTATTAGATTACATAATTTCCACTGTTTTATTTTTTATAGTATTTTTTATTGTTGCTCTTTAGCTATTTTCATGTTACAAACTCTAATTTATTGAACTGCTGTGATAATTAATAGTCCATAATTGTTTTACATAACTGAGTCTCAGTATTTGTGTAAGTAATAATGAGGTGCGTTTGTGGTACCTGATGTCTAACTACTTTAATGCATATTTTTTCTTTATAGTAAAGCCATTTGCAAATGAAGAAGAATATAAGAAAACTGAAGAAATTGTCAAAAAATTTCAAAATGGTATTGGAGAAAAATTGCACCAGAAATTACTTGAAAGGGCAAAAGAAAAGAGAAATTGGGTATGTATGTTATTATACTTAAGATTAGAAAATTGATGATGCTTAAAAAATGAAAAATAAAAATGTACATAGCTTTCATTTTAAAATTGTTACTGTAAAAATTCTTGCAGTCACTATTGCCATGATCATCATTCAAAAGAATGAATGAACTGCTTAACACTGGAGTTTTGAGTTTTGTGGGTGGGCTACTCTCTTATTATATGGAAAACTTGTTAAAATGCAGATTTCCTGAGACCAGTCATTCTGATGCAGTATCTCTGGAATGAAACCCAGAAATCCTTATTTTAACAACTACTCCATGTGGTTTATAAACCAGGCTTGAGAGAAACATTTTATCTAGGTCATTGTTGCCTAAAAAATATCAAAACACGTGTCATATCGGTGGTGTACAAGTATTGAAACAATGCATGTGAGAGAAAGGGCCATTACAAAATTGGAGGGGAAATGGTTATGAGTATTCTGTGTGTCAATTAGGTTAATGACACATTGCTATAATAGCCATTAAGGATATCAATTTTCTACAAGGAATCTTCTTTGGCTTCTTCAGCTTAACTACTTGTGTAGTGTAAACCAAAGGATTGAATTGAAAATTACTTTAATCTAGAAATAATGATTACAGTTATTTTAGTTTTCGAAATGAAAAAGCAAGCTTATCTTTTTCATCAGCCATTGATACCTATAATGGAATAATAAAATTTTATATTTCCAGATTGCTTTATTCTCAATCTTGAGCCTTGAATGATTTTTTAAAAAATTAATCTCAGAGAGCGGAAGAGAGGAAGAGAGGAAGAGAGGGAGGGAGGGAGGGAGGGAGGGAGGGAGGGAGAGAGAGAGAGAGAGAAACATCGATAGATGGCCTCCTGCACATGCCCCAATGGGATCGAACCCACAACCTGGGTATGTGCCCTCACCAGAAATCAAACTGCCACCTTCTGGTATATGGGACGATGCTCCAACCAACTGAGCCACACTGGCCAGGGTGAACCTTGAATGATTTTAATTAAATTAGGGTAGAGGTAACAAGTTGTTTTGCCTGTATCCTTTTTATTTATATCTTTTTTTGAGTGACTCATTGTAATTGAGAACATCAGTTTCTTCAAAAATAACTCTAGGTAACTTGATAAGATATGCTTACTGATGTATGAAATTAAAGTGCATATAGTGCCCTAACCGGTTTGGCTCAGTGGATAGAGCGTCGGCCTGCAAACTGAAAGGTCCCAGGTTTGATTCCGGCCAAGGGCATGTACCTTGGTTGCGGGCACATCCCCAGTGGGGGGCATGCAGGGAGGCAGCTGATCGATGTTTCTCTCTCATTGATGTTTCTGACTCTCTATCTCTCTCCCTTCCTCTCTGTAAAAAAATCAATAAAATGTATTTTTAAAAAAAGTGCATATAGTGAAAGAGGGATTTAGAACATTGTCTGTGAAAAACCCAAATTAGTTTTTTTAAACCTACTCAAAAAGTTTTTATATTTCTGATTTAGTATTTTAGTTTTTGCTTGGAAAAGGAAAATTGTAAATCCCTTAATTGAGGATTTATTGAGTAGCTATTTTTCTCAGGTACTCTGAGAAAACACACCTAAATACATTGTCAGGTATTTGTGACTTCAACTTGATCTGCCTGAAAGTGCTTTTTGTTTCATGTTTTTGACAACATAGTTAAACACAATAGTATTTAAGACCCTACAGTTCCAAAGGAAAGAAGAGAGGGAAAAAAACACACCAAGTAGACAGTAACTTATTTTTTACATATTCATGTATTATCTGATGTTCTTTATTTTAGCTGGAAGAGTGGTGGCTGAATGTTGCCTACCTGGATGTCCGTATACCATCACAACTGAATGTCAACTTTGGGGGTCCGGCACCCCATATGGAACACTACTGGCCTCCAAAGGAAGGCACGCAATTGGAAAGAGGAAGCATAAGTCTTTGGCATAACTTGAACTACTGGCAACTGTTAAGAAAGTAAGGATACTTAAGGTGAATTTAGTATGAAATTTAGTATGAAGATTTAAGTGTCAGGTAAAGTTGAGAAGCTTAATTTACTTAGATGGGGATGAATATTACAGTTGTGACTATTTGGTTTATAAGTTTTATAATTACTTCTTAAAGTACTTACTTTTTGTTTTAATAGAGAAAAATTGCCTGTTGATAAAGTTGGAAATACTCCTCTAGATATGAATCAATTCCGAATGCTATTTTCTACCTGTAAGATTCCAGGAATTTCTAGAGATTCAATTATGAATTATTTTAGGACTGGTAAGTAGAAAATGCGGGTACTTTCTTTGGTAAAGGCATTGGGATTTGGGTAGTTTCGCTGTAGTTTCTATGACACTGAAACATTTTGGAGAATATTTCTGATTGGATTTTGACTAATAAAAGGCTTTCTGTGAACCTTGTCTTTCAGTCATTCAGATTAGTTGAAAGTGATTTATGGGAATGGATTTCCTAAACTCTGTCTTACATGGTTTTATATAAACTTGATGCTTACAATACAGCATTTAAATTTTAGTTAAAAGAGTAGAATTACGAATCAGAGTATTAGGAAATCTGGAGAATATAATTTGGGTCCTGTTTCTACCCTCATTATTTCTTATCTAAAGGCTCTTTTTCAGTATTTGCTTGTATGTGCTCATCATGCCCGTCTTCATTGTGAATTTGCTTTCCTTTGTCGTCTATGAGGTGAGAGCCTGGTATCAATCTTTTTAAGGTTACATGAGTTCAGATTGACTCATCAAAGTCTTTGTTTTTACTGCCAGTTTAATGGCAGTGTCCGCTTGGTGTCCTAGCATATCTTGCAATGGAAAATTCTGTTGTAGCAACTGCTAGTTTTGTTACTTCAGGAATATTTATTTATTTATTTATTTTTGTATAGCAAAGGTGGGAATTTATTGAAGAACAAGTACAGACTCCCATGTGGGGAGGGGGAAAGAATCTCACAGCACAGACTCCCATGTGGGGAGGGGGAAAGAGTCCCAGGAATTTTTATTTTTTATAAATTTAATGACCATTTATAATTACTACAGAATTTAATTATAAATGGATATTTTTTGTACATCCAATTGCATTTACAAGTAAATTTTCTGTAGCCAACTTTGCTTGTAGTGTGAGAGGTCTGAGTTTATTTTCATGTAGAACTCAACTCCTTTTTGTAAACCTCTTTAAATGCTTGAGATAATGTCCTCAAGTCTGCACACATTTACCTTGAGGTTGCAAGTGAAATATTTAAAAGAAAGGATTAAGGAACCTGGTTATTTATGACATGAAGTTTAATGCCTAAATATGAGTGGAAAAGATGAACATGAGACTAGCAGTAGCAAAGAGAGATAATATATACATCAGGTAAAAACTAATATCAGTAGACCTGGTTTTGAATTAAATCTTTATCACCAAGTAGTTATATCTTTCAATAAGGTAACTCCTTTAAGTTACAGTATGTAAAATGGAGATTCATTAATGATATGCATCTTGATACAGTGGCTTAAGCTGTCATGGTTAGTATATTCTTGAACTTATGGCTATGTGAAGAGGTATAGATAGGGATAAATCTGAGGTAATAAGTAAATATGAAAAATATCAGAGAGTTGGTGACAAATACAATATAGAAAATTCAAATAATGTGAGCAATTGGTAGCTGTTTTAGACTAGGTAGTTAGGGAAGACCTCTCTGAGGATCTGAATGATAAGATAATCAAGCACAGTTTTTTGACATTTTTTGTTTGCTTGTTTAGTTCATTTATTGTTGTTTTCATTTGTTTGTGTTGCGGAGGAATCCCCTGGGCATATTAAACTTGGCATGTGTGAAGGGCATTGTGGATGGAGCAGAATAGGCAGGAAGGAGGAGCAGATTGGAAAGGTGACTAGAGACTAGGTCGTATGCTACTTTGTAAGCCAACTAAGGATTTTGGCTTTTATTTTAAACCAGAGGCCCGGTGCACAAAAATTTGTGCACTGGCGGGGGGGGGGGGGGGCGGGGTGTGTGTCCCTCAGCCCGGCCTGTGCCCTCTCACAGTCTGGGACCCCTCGGGGGATGACACCTGCTGGCTTGGGCCCGCTCCCTGGGGGATTGGGCCTAAGATGGCAGTCAGACATCCCTCTGGCGGCCTGGCAGCCCTTGGGGGATGTCCACTTGCCAGCGGGGAGCAGACCTAAGCTGCAGTCAGATCCTTAGTGCTGCTGAGGAGGCAGGAGAGGCTCCCACCACCATCACTGTACTGGCAGCCATCAGCCTGGCTTGTGGCTGAGCAGAGCTCCCCCATGTGGGATCGACTGACCACCAGAGGGCAGCTCCTGCATTGAGTGTCGGCCCCCTGGTGGTCAATGTGTGTCATAGTGACCAGTCATTCCCAGTCTTTCTGCTGTTATGGTCAGTTTGCATATTACCCTTTTACTATATAGGATAGAGGCCTGGTGCACGGGTGGGTGCCGGCTGGTTTGCCTTGAAGTGTGTCCTGGATCAGGGTGGGGGTCCCGCTTGGGTGCCTGGCCAGCCTGGGTGAGGGGCTGATGGCTGTTTGCAGCTGGTCACACCCCCTTCAGGGTGAGGGTCCCCACTGGGGTGCCTGGCCAGCCTGGATGAGGGGCTGATGGCTGTTTTCAGGCTGGCCACACCCCCTTTAGGGTGGGGGGTCCCCACTGGGGTGCCTGTCCAGTCTGGGTGAGGGGCTGAGGACCGTTTTCAGGCTGGCTGGGACTGAAGCTCCCAGCCTCTCCTTTTTTTCTTTTTTTTTATTCTGAGATTTATTTATCTTCTATAATTGAAACATTGTTGCCATCACTGGTGCTCCCAGCTCTGAGGCCGCGGCTGGCCAGCTGAAAGCAGGTATCTGGGGTTTGTTTAGCTTCTATAATTGAAACATTGTTGTTTTGGGCTCAGAGCCAGGCCGCGGCAGGCGGGGAACCTTGGCTTCCTCTATCACTGGAGCAAGCAAGTCTCCTGCTTGCTTCAGCTGCGTGGCTGCCGGCTGCCATCTTTGTTGGCAGTTAATTTGCATATCGCCCTGATTAGCCAATGGGAAGCATAGCAGAGGGTACAGTTAATTACCCTTTTTGTCTTTTATTAGATTAGATGTGAATGGATACTATTAGTGGGTTTTGAGAAAGCGTGATGTGATCAGGTTGATATTTTGAAGATAATTCTACCTGCTGTGTGAAGAAAAGATTTTTTAGGAGACAGACAAGTGTAGAAGCAGGGTCAGTTAGAAAGGTGATAGTCCAGGTGGGCCATAATGATGATTTGTACTAGGGTGGTTGCATAGAGTGGTGAAAAGTTATTCGATTCTGGATATATTTTGAATTTGGGCTTAGCAAAATTATTCATAGATTGGTTATAAGATATGAGAAAAAAAAACAGGAATTAGAGATGGCTCCAAGATACTTGGCTTGCATAACTAATGGGGTAGATAGGTGTGTTGGTTCATGAGGTGGCAAAAATGGAGAAGAGGTATTTGGAGGGGGAGGAAAATCAAAAGTCCTGTAGACTATGTTAAGTTTAAGATGCCTTTTAGATTTCTAAGTGGAAATGTTAAGTAGGCAGTTAGATGCAAAGTTTGGAGTTGTGGGGGAGAATTCAGGACTGCAGATAAAGACTTAGGGATCATTATTAGCAAGCATAGAAATCATTTTAAAGCCATAAGAGTAGCGGAGATTACTTTTGGAATACATAGATGAAGATGACTGATTCTTATTACAATCAAATACAATATTTGGTGCTCAGAGGAGGCAGCAGCAGCAAAAAAGACCAAGGTAGGAAGAAAACAAGGACACTGGTCTCCCAGAAGCCAAGACAATGAAGTATTTTATATAACATTTTTGAAAGGTCAACTAAGATATAAAAATTAACAGTGACCATTGGATCTGTCAACATGATGAGGACAAAGTCTGCCTCGACAAGAGCAGCATTGGTGGAAGTTGGAGAAGGGAGCTCAGGTGGAGGAAATGAAAGCAAACAAGTGGTGATAGCATCTGGAAATAATGCTTGTGAAAAAAGTGTTTTGCTTTATTTTTTTCACAAATGTGAAAAAAGTTTTGATGTGTAGTGGAATTTTTTCCGTTTTAAAAGATGAGTAATATTATATCATAAGAATGACAGAAGGAAAAATCATTTTGCAGGGGAGGGGATAAGGTGCCAAAGTCACTGAGAAGATAAGAGCTGAGAGGATCAAGTACAGAAATAGTGGAGGGATTGGACTTTGGTCTTCAAGAGCAAGGATGAGAGGGAATGTGGAAAGTATGCATCTGGATGCAGACAGATGAGGCAATTTTGTTGTAGGGAAATGAGGTCCTCTGTGTTCTTTGTGTTTTCCCTGATGAAATAAGAACTGACATGGAAGATTTAAGGAGAAAGGAGAAGGTTTGAGATGGTCCCTTTGGAAAATGGGGAAAGCGCACATACTGTAGAAATGTAGTGTAGCTGAGCAGGGTGGAGTGCCCATTTGAAATGTGTGTTTATGAATTTAAACTTAGACTAGATGGTGTGTTGTGGTTTTTTCTTCAACAATTAGAGGCAAGTGCAGAGGAGAGGGTGTGAAGGATTTAAGGTTTTTTGCAAGGGGGAAATTATAATGCTGGATGCTAGGATCTTTCCTGGATAAGGTAAAGGTTGAAGAAAGTGTGTGTGTGTGTGTGTGTGTGTGTGTGTGTGTGTGTGTGTGTGTGTGTCAGGGGCGGGTAGGGGGCAGCATGCAAGCTGCTGTGGCTACAAAGCTAGTCTCAATAAGGAGGCAATAGAACTAGTTTTTGTTTGTTTGTTTTTTTGCTTATCACCTAAGACAGTGGTCGGCAAACTCATTAGTCAACAGAGCCAAATATAAACAGTACTTCTTCAAAATTGACTTGCCCAGGCCGAAAACCGACTTCTGCGCATGGGCCACAAAGTTTCAATCGCACTGTACGTGCGCCTGCACGTGGTATTTTGTGGAAGAGCCACACTCAAGGGGCCAAAGAGCCGCGTGTGGCTCGCGAGCCGCAGTTTGTCGACCACTGACCAAAGAGACCATTAAGACTCATTCATAATCTTACCTTTCATCCTGTTCACCTTATTTTGCCCAAGAAGTTCAGACTTCCTATGTCGTGTCCTGTCATTGGGATTCATGCATTTGTGCATAGCCTAATTTGAGCCAAGTTCCCACTACTAATTTGACCCACCCCAAACCCTTTGCTGTACTTTATGGAGCTCGTGGTCAGAAATTCATTATATTCTTAACCTATTTTTGGAAAGTTTCTGTTTCCTTCTGAAAGGTACTGGTACTGAGACCTGGTTATGCTTTGAGCGTACTGCTTTCCATATGACCATCTCTAGTAGGGATTTTTTTCCCCTCTTATACTTTGGTGCTACAGGCATGTAGGAGATCTTCATGTCCTCTCTATTTCCTATTGCCTTGTCCATTTTTTCTTCTTTCTTACAATTGGAGCTCTTGGAAAAAATGTATCACCACTGCTTGTCTCTGTTTAGTGACTTTCTTTTGCTCCTTCCCCTTCATTCATGGGTTGTTTAAGCACCGGTCTCACTGTCTTTCCATTATTACCTCAGTCACATTCTTGATGACTTGAGCTTCCAGTTGTAGATGATGTAGGCCCTCTCCTTTTCTTCATTTTCTTCCTCCTTCTCAAGCAGCAACCCACTCCCATGGCAATGCCCTAACCTTGTTATTATCAAAAACTCCATCATCTCTAACATTACAGTTAAAAGCATCTCAGTCTGATATCCACCTTCTCTTCACCACTCACTTCCTTTCGTAGTCCACCTCAGCTATTTTTTGACCACATTGTGACTTACAATTCAGTTACCCTACAGTTCTTCATAGTTCCATCCCTCCCCCCCCACCCCAATCTTCACTTCTTTCTATGATTCTTCACTGTAATCACTCTGTAGCATATGCATTGAAATCTTTGCCCACCTGCTTCCTCCCCACTGCACCCCTGAAATTTATAACACTGTTTAAAATTCAATTTTTAGTTTTACCTCTACATATCCAAGATACCTATCCTAGCAATTTACTTGGCCAGAGAAAACCACAAAACCTCATTTACTTCTCTCTCTTTTTCTTTCTCCCTCCCCCCCACACTTACTTTTCTCAGTTAAACCTTAAGTCAGTGGTTCTCAACCTTCCTAATGCCGTGACCCTTTAATACAGTTCCTCATGTTGTGGTGACCCCCAACCATAAAATTATTTTCGTTGCTACTTCATAACTGTAATTTTGCTACTGTTATGAATCGTAATGTAAATATCTGATATGCAGGATGTATTTTCATTGTTACAAATTGAACATAATTAAAGCATAGTGATTAATCACAAAAACAATATGTAATTATATATTCAATATGTGTTTTCCAATGGTCTTAGGTGACCCCCAAAGGGGTCGCGACCCACAGGTTGAGAACTGCTGCCTTAAGTGAACCCACATTACTATCTTGCCGTATTCTTTTGTCAGGTTATTCTCCCAGAAAAGGCTGTTTCATGCCTTTCTCCTTCCTTATTCTCAGCTAATGAGCTCTTTTCTTATTCTCAACAAATGTCAAGCAATCTTCCCATTCCCAAATTTACCATTCTGGTAGGCAGAATTTACACCCGGCTCCTCCCTCCCTTGGCTAGTATGGAACCGGTTGGATGTGTTAGATTACATGATAAAGAGGATTTAAGATTGTAGATGAAATTAAGGTTGCTGATGAATTTAATAAACTGACCTTGAGATGGGGAGATTATCCTGATTATTCAGGCAGGCCCAAAGTAATCACAAGAGTTCTTACAAGTGGAAGAAAGGCAGAAGAGAAAAACCAGAGACAGCAGCATGAGGAAGTCAAGATTTCCCCTCGATGACTTCAAATATGGAGGAATGGGGGCAGAGCCCAGGAAGGTGGGCAGCCTCCAGGAGACATTGTTGCTTAGTCTCCAGGAGGAACACAGATCTGCTGACACCTTCATTTTAGCCCAGTAAGATACATTTCAGACTGCTGGTCCCCAGACTTGTAAGGTCATACATTTGTGTTGTTAGTGGTACTTTCCACTAAGTTAGTGGGAATTCGTTGCAGCAGTCATAGAAATATACTCATTTAAGTATTTGCCCATCCTACAACCCCCTTGCAATGCATTATTGCGCAGTCATATATTTTGCCTTCCCTTTTTAAAAATGGACAAACTGTCTGACTCCTTAGGACAGTGATGGCGAACCTATGACACGCGTGTCAAAGGTGACATGCGAACTCATTTTTTTGGTTGATTTTTCTTTGTTAAATGGCATTTAAATATATAAAATAAATATCAAAAATATGTCTTTGTTTTACTATGGTTGCAAATATCAAAAAATTTCTCTATGTGACACGGCACCAGAGTTAAGTTAGGGTTTTTCAAAATGCTGACATGCCGAGCTCAAAAGCTTTGCCATCACTGCCTTAGGACAACCCTTTTATGTGGTGCATTGGATTCCTCCTCCTCTTGCCTAATCAAGGACCTTGCTTTTCTCTCTCTGCTGTGTTATCAGTTTCCCCTTCTTAGTGGGTAGTTCCAATCTATAATATCTTCTCAAAGGGGGAAAAAAATTGAGCTCTCGTCTCTTTCACGCATCACACTCCAGTCAAAACCACCATCACCTTCCACTTCTATCATTATCATCTGGACCCCTACAGTGACTTCCTAATTGATCTTGCTGTGTATTCTCTTTCCTCTTATAATCTCTTCTCCGTATATATGCTGGAGTGACCTTTTTAAAGTATTAATTAGATCACATTATTATTCTCTTGCTTAAAACCCATCATACTTAACATTGAAAGCCTTTTTGAAGCCAGTATGATCTGGTCCCAACCATATCTGCCTGCTATAGCTGCACTGATCTTGTTTTCCTTTAAGCAAACCAGTTCAAGCAAACTCTCTTTATCAAATATTTTCATGATTCACTCCTTCTTTTCCTTTGCTCAAATATTCCATCTTAGGCTCATCCTGAGGTAGCACCCTTCTGTCACCCTCCTCCCATTTATTATTATTATTTATTATTTTTGTATGAATCTTTTACATTTACATGGTGGTAAATGTAAAAGAGAAAGGGGGAGGGTTGAAGGAGGAGAGAAGAAATGGGTTGGGATTAGCCATGAGGGACAAGGATAATGCATGCCTCACCTCTTAGGACTTGAGGAAATAGGATATAAAGGAAGAATTAGTAGTCCTATCAGAAAATAAATAGTTGATGAATAGATTTCATGAGATAATATATGTAAAGCATTTGGCACAGTTCCGTGTACATAATATCAACCAGTAAATTTCCTTCCAGAGGCAATATATGTCTTTTCTAACTGTTCTTTCACTCCCCCCCATTTCTTAGAGGGAAGGAGCAGGAGTCCTACAAGAAGACCCTTGTTAAAGGGACTAGTACTTGAAAAAATGACGCTAAATCAGAATAGTCTGAGGTTTATAGGAAACTAGTTCTTGGGAGCTAAGGTGTGCCAAAGGAAACACAGAATCAGATACCAGTGGCTTACCGGGCATTATCAGAGCTTTAAATAAAACTACAGATTGGGCAGAATTCTTTCCCTTTGCCACTCAGACATACAGTGTCCTTATTCTCCTAAAACTATTTTATTGAAAAATAATAGCTAGATATTATTGCAGTCAACATTAACATAATATGAAAGAGAAACTTGCTAATTCAAATAGCTCTCTTCCAGGGTCCCTCTGCTATCCTTTCCCCTTCTCCCTCCTATCCGTAAATAAAACTAGAAAGCCCTGTAGTAGTTGGAATTTATATGATTTTCAAGGTGTACAAATACTTGAAACTCCCATGGATTTCTAGATGTTTCACACGGACAGGTTTTGGGAGCACGCATTTATATCATAGCAATTGGAATTCCATCACCTTATGAGTGTTTTATTCATGTGACTTACTGAATACATGGTAAATAAAATATTGGAGGAATGTATATGCAACTTTACTCTTGTTTAACTTTGAAAGATTTGGTTTTGTGTTTTCTGTTGTTTTTTCCAGAGAGCGAAGGGTATTCCCCAACTCACATTGTAGTGCTGTGCCGAGGCCGCGTTTTTGTCTTTGATGCAATCCATGAAGGATGTTTGATCACCCCGCCAGAGATTCTCAGGTTTTCAAACTACTTTCTTGAATCTTATTAGGTCTTAAGCTTTTGCACGAGTTAAAAATAAATTCAGAATTGCCTATTTATAAGATGACAGAAAATTAAGAATTTTACATATCCTGAATTAAAAAATATTTTTATCTTTTTAATTTAAATTAATTTTTAGTTTTATTAGCATATATGAATATATTTTAGTTGGAGAAAAGGAAAACATTACAAATACTACCAATTTCATCTGCTGTCCCAGAATTAATCACTGTTACTAGTTTGTTGTATTCTAGCTTTATGTATCTACTTATATGTACATATAGACTTAAAAAAATATATATTTTTATTGATTTCAGAGAGGGAGAGAGAGAGAAACATCAATGATGAGAGAGAATCATTGATCGGCTGCCTCCTGCATGCCCTCCACTGGGGATCAAGCCCACAACCCAGGCATATGTCCTGACTGGGAATCGAACTGTGACCTCCTGGTTCATAACTTGATGCTTAACCACTGAGCCACTCCGGCCAGGCAGGGTGAATAATTATTAAACAACTGTGGCTCTATTCTTAATAGGTGCCCTTCTCCACTATCAGAAATACTTACCAAGGTTGTTAGAAGCTTTTCCCCCATGTGTTCTTCTAGGAGTTTTATTGTTAAGGTCTCACATTTATACCTTTAATCCATTTTGAATTGATTTTTGTGTATGCTATAAAATAGGGGTCCAGTTCCATTCTTTTGTATGTGCAATCCAGTTTCCCCAGCACCATTTATTTAAGAGGCTATCTTTTTCCCATTGTGTATTCTTGGCACCTTTGGCAACCTCAGTGGACTCTCTCTCTCTCTCTCTCTCTCTCTATATATATATATATATATATGTGTATATATATATATATATATATATATATATATATATATACACACTCTATTCTGTCCCACTGTGTGTACGTCCATTAAAAAAAATATTTCTTTGCTGATTTCAGAGAGGAAGGGAGAAGGAGAGAGAGATAGAAACATCAATGATGAGAGAGAATCATCCATTGGCTGCCTCCTGCACACCCCCTACTGGGGAGCGAGCCTGCAACCCAGGCATATGCCCTTGGCCGGAATCAAACCTGGGACCCTTCAGTCTGCAGGCCGACGTTCTATTCACCGAGCCAAACTGGGTAGGGCGTATATGTCTGTTTTTATGCCAACACCATACTGTTTTGATTACTGTCGCTTTGTAGTAATATATTTATTTTGAAATCAGGAAGTGTGATACCTCCAGCTTTTTTCTTCTTGCTCAAAATTGCTTTGGCTATTCAGAGTTTTTTTTTGTGTGGCTTCTTGTGAGTTCTAGGATTTTTTTTTCTATTTCTTTGAAAAATGCAATTGGGATTTTGATAGGGATTGCATTGAATCAGTAGATTGATTTAGGAAATATGGACGTCTTAATGCTGAAGATGTAGGCAGTTATTATCTGACCTTTTATTATCAAACTTAAAATGTCATTTCAGGTTTAACACATTTTCTCTGGTAATTTCTTTGTAATAATGACCATGTTTTATGAGGCGATAATTTCCCACTGAATATAAAAATGGCCATATCAGGGAGCAGGAGAAAGTTTCATAGTCAAAACTGGTGACTTGAGGTGGTAAGGAAAGAGCAGCAACCAATACCATGTGGAGAAAAAGGCTGAGGTAGATTTTATTACTTTAGCATTCAGAATTCATGCCCAGGCACTGTGCTCACCACATACCCACCAATTGTAGAAACTTTATTTTTTAAATATATTTTTATTGATTTTTTACAGAGAGGAAGGGAGAGGGATAGAGAGTTAGGAACATCGATGAGAGAGATACATCAATCAGCTGCCTCCTGCACACCCCCTACTGGGGATGTGCCTGCAACCAAGGTACATGCCCTTGACCGGAATCGAACCCGGGACCCTTGAGTCTGCAGGCCGGTGCTCTTTCCACTGAGCCAAACTGGCTAGGGCGAAACTTTATTTTAAATAAAGCAAAATCAGATTTAGCAAAGACAGTAAACAGGGACAGACAGGGCATGTCCCTTACCCCGGCCCCATAGGTGCAGATTGTTTGGTGAAGAAACTGCTGCCCAGGACTCCACTCCTGTTCAAATCAAGGAGGAGGAGTTTATTTCCTCATCAGTATTACAGAAATAGTTAAGGAACAAAAATACAATTGAAAGTTGTATTTTTTTCCAGTTTGGAATGAAAAAGTCACAAATAAGGGATGGCTGCTAGTGGTGCCTTGTGATCATATTTTAAGCTACATTAGCTCACTTTCTGAGAAATGCTTGGAAGCTTTTAATTGAGGTAATTTTTTAGCATGTTCCATGAGGAAGTAAGGCTGAAACTAACCTCTGTAGATTTTTGACTGATAAAAATGTATTTCTTTATGGAAGAACCCTGTTATTTACTGGCCATTTGTTTGAAAATTACATTAAACTGCCCTAACCGGTTTGGCCCAGTGGATAGAGCGTCAGCCTGCGCACTCAAAGGTCCCAGGTTCAATTCTGGTCAAGGGCATGTACCTTGGCTGCGGGCACTTCCCCAGTAGGGGGTGTGCAAGAGGCAGCTGATCGATGTTTCTCTCTCATCAATGTTTCTAACTCTCTTTCCCTCTCCCTTCCTCTCTGTAAAAAATCAATAAAATATATTTTAAAAAAATAAAAATAAAAATTACATTAAACTCACCAAACTGGGAATATAGAATGTTATGGGGTGAAAGAATTTATTCTTAGCTAATAGAGTCTTTAAAATATAATGGTTGTAACTAATAACAACATGGACTAAATGGTACTTAAATGTTTGTTGGATTTAACACAAATACTAATTTGGTATAGGTAAGTCTTCCATTAAATATAAGGTGTCCTAAAAATTGTATATGCACTTTGAATAATTATTCTAATGGGTTAAATCTGAAAAGAAAGAATCAGCGGTTGAAGTGTGTATACATTTTTGGGGGACACGCTGTATTTATGTACATAGTTTTCAGCTAGATAAGATGTGTAGAATATAATTCAATTTCTCTGTTGTGTAAGGGGTATTTACTTAAACCCTGAAAGTACATGTACATTTTAAAAGCATAAATTATATCGGCCAAACACCAAATTTATTAAGTTTATTGTCAGATACACTTTTGGTGTTAATTAATCATGTAGTTCTCTTTTTAAAAAATGATGTGGTATTGGAAATAGATCCATTACCGTTGAGATTATAACCCCTTTCTTTGGATAATATATCAAAGCATTTAAACACGGTAAACATGACCTATTAAAGGCCAAAGTAGCTAGTGATCCTGCCTATGCTCTTTTTGAATCCTCTTTCTTTAATCTTCCGTAAGGCAACTGACATACATCCACAGGAAGTGCCATAGCGAACCTGATGGACCTGGGGTGGCAGCATTAACTAGCGAGGAGCGAACTCGATGGGCAAAGGTTATAATGTACACTTTTCTTCTTTTAATTGAGCTATGATTGACATAGACCATTACACTGTAATCAGGTGTATAACATAATGATTTGATATTTGTACATATTGTGAAATAATCACCACAGTGGCTAGTTAACGTGTCACACAGTTACAAATTTATTTTCTTGTGATGAGAAATTTTAAGATCTACTCCCAGCAAGTTTCAGATATCTAATACATTATTAATTATATACTTGTCTTAATGAACCTTTTCTTTCCTGGATATAGTATTAATTTGTAACATTTAATCATTATCTCCTTTAGGCACGAGACTATTTGATTAATCTTGATCCAGAGAACTTGACTAGGTTGGAAAAAATTCAGAGCAGTTTGCTGGTGTATTCCTTAGAGGATGACAGTCCACATGTAACACCAGAAGATTATTCACAGGTACTTAACTATCTTGTTTTGTTATTTCTTCCCACAAATTTTTTCTGAAGGACTCTTGTATGTATTGAACATGAGAAGATTATTTTGTTATATGCAGGCTCTTAAAATGTTTTCTTACATTTTCTTACATGGTATATATACATGTACCAAATTGAAGTTTATAATCTATACTAGAGGCCCGGTGCATGGTGGGATCCCTTGGCCTGGCCTGCGCCCTCTTGCAATCCTGGACCCCTCGGGGGATGTTGGATAGCCAGTTTCAGTCAGATCCCCGCAGGCCCGATCCAGATAGGAGGGAGCCTGATCCCCGTAGGCCCAATCCAGACAGGAGGGAACCCGAACCTGTGTGTTGAGCATCTGTCCCCTGGTGGTCAGTGCGTGTCATAGCAACTGGTCATCCGGTCATCAGGTCGCTTAGGCCAGTGGTCGGCAAACTCATTAGTCAACAGAGCCAAATATCAACAGTACAACGATTGAAATTTCTTTTGAGAGCCAAATTTTTTAAACTTAAACTATATAGTTAAGTACATTGTTATTAACTTAATTAGGGTACTCCTAAGCTGGCCTTTGTTAAAAACGTCCTTAATCTGATTGAGGTACGTTCGCTGAGGTCGACCACTTCCAACTCTCCCATCCACACTCGTCTTGTATACTTGTTTCAGATAAACGAGTGTGGGTGGGAGAGTTGGAAGGGGTCGACCTCAGTGAACGTACCTCAAAACAGTGTACCTCCCCTGCGCTGCATATCCCACGGCCTGCCTGCGCTGCGTCTCCCGTTGCCCAAACGACCGACACCCCCCATTTCTTCTAACGCCACTTCTTCAAAATAGACTTGCCCAGGCCGAAAACCGACTTCTGTGCATGGGCCACGAAGTTTCAATCGCACTGTACGTGCATGCCTGCACGTGGTATTTTGTGGAAGAGCCACACTCAAGGGGCCAAAGAGCCACATGTGGCTCATGAGCCGCGGTTTGCCGACCACTGACTTAGGCAATGATTACGACCGGACGACTGGACAACCGGTCAGTAGCTATGATGCACACTGACCACCAGGGGGCAAACATTCAAAGCAGGAGCTGCCCCCTAGTGGTCAGTGCGCTCCCATAGCCAACCTCCCGTGGCTGGCCAACCTCCCATGGTCCCTCCCCCTGGCTGGTTGGCCCCAATCGGCCCCACTCGCCAGCCAGGCCAAGGGACCCCACCTGTACACGAATTTGTGCACTGGGCCTCTAGTAGATAAATAATGCTTTGTGAATTCTTTCCACATTGTTTAGGTCCAGTTAGATAAATCTTGTATGTTGTTTAAAGAAGTATGACTATTGTTTGCAAATCCCATATCAGTGTTTCTCTACACTTTTATTGAATGCGTATACAGAAAATTTGCACAGGTCACTGGGCTAAATGAGCTTCTCATGCCAATGGTGACATGAGAACCTACCTGTGACCCATACCAGTGTGCCTTGAAACTTTAGCTGTTGAGTTCTATCCTAAGAATTATATCAAACTATAAGTAATTTATTTTATCATTAGGTGTTAGTGAACAAACTGATGGTAGTGAGTTTAAGGGTAAATGTGGCTTTACCTTCCCCCCCCCCGGGAAAATATCATTTCCTGGGAAATAATAAAAGGTGAAAGTCATATTTTTAGAAGTCTCACTTAAATTATTTCATAATGCATTCATCAGTATGAAATTATAGCAATAAAATAATACAGAATTGAAAAAACTTGTGGCTAGAAACCAACTTTAACTCATTTATTTATTTATTTAGCAAAAGAATCACTAAACTTTTTTTAAAAATATATTTTATTGATTTTTTTTTTACAGAGAGGAAGGGAGAGAGAGAGTTAGAAACATCAATGAGAGAGAAACATTGATCAGCTGCCTCCTGCACACCTCCTACTGGGGATGTGCTCACAGCCAAGGTACATGCCCTTGCCCGGAATCGAACCTGGTACCCTTTAGGCCGCAGGCCGACGCTCTATCCACTGAGCCAAACCGGTTACGGCAGAATCACTAAACTTCTAGAGGAAGAATATGTTTTAATGCAGTCTTTTTTACTGCAATCTACAGTTAGACATACATTTAAACTGCAGCTTACTACACACACACATGCACACACACACATGCTTATACACACACATGTATATAATAGAAGTTTCACAAAACAGTAATTACTTTTATTATCTGTGATGTACTCTGATATTTATGTTTTATTTGATTCTTTCTTTTTGTAAAGAATACATACTGTGATACACTAAATTCATTTCATGACTCAACTAGTGGGCCAAAATCTACTGTTTGAAAAACAGGTGTGGTGAGATCTGAATTTTGAAATATTTTTCTCGTAACTAAATTTTAATGACTGAATTTATCAAGGCCTCTTAACACTATTCAAGTTGCAAAAGCATTGTCCTTTCAGTTGTATGTTCTCGAAACATTTATGAACATTGTACTAGCATTCTCTTTTATAGAGGATTTCTTGAAATTTTTAAGAAATATCTAGAGGACCAGAATTATTACCTCTTGAGTATAACTGTTATCATTATTTAAATTTGGTTTAGCTCAGCGGTTCTCAACCTGTGGGTAGCGACCCCTTTCGGGGTCGAACGACCCTTTCACAGGGGTTGCCTAAGACCATCGGAAAACGCATATATAATTACATATTGTTTTTGTGATTAATCACTATGCTTTAATTATGTTCAATTTTTAACAATGAAAATACATCCTGCATATCAGATATTTACATTACGATTCATAACAGTAGCAAAATTACAGTTATGAAGTAGCAACGAAAATAATTTTATGGTTGGGGGTCACCACAACATGAGGAACTGTATTAATGGGTCGCGGTATTAGGAAGATTGAGAACCACTGGTTTAGCTGAATGGGAAAAGTGAGACTATATTTACATATATGTATATATGTGTGTGTGTGTGTTTATGTTTAAGATAAAATACTTACAAATCAATATTAAAATCCCTTTAATTTGGAAATATTAAATTATTTTAGGTAATTGCAATGGTCCTCACTGGAGATCCAACAGTACGCTGGGGTGACAAATCCTATAACTTGATTTCCTTTTCTAATGGAGTATTAGGCTGTAATTGTGATGTAAGTAACTTACTATAGTTATTTTTTCTTTTTTATCTTTTAGGTTGATTTAATGGCAATAAGCTACAATATTTATGCTATGGTGTGGAAATATGAGTAAACACTTCTTCATTTTTCTGTCATTATCATAAAAGGTTTGGTTATGAATTCTACTCAGTGAAAGTAGAGTGTAGAACAAGTTCTTTTCATCTGTAGTAAAGCTGATAGTTTGGTGTATATGTGCAAAGTTGAATTTGCATATATTTTCATGTAGAATAAGCACTTTAAAATTCACTGTTGAGAATTATAACCTATTTTAAAAGATATACAGCGTTATGCATATGTTCTATGCACAGAGAAATATATGTAGATATTTCTAGATTTACCAGTAATTTTGTAACTATTTTCCCAAAATGACACATGCTCTATGGAACATTATTTATTTCACTATGGATATTAAAATGTCTGGTATTTAATACCATTTTTACCTTCTTTATAAAACAACAACAAAAAATCTTTGCTTATTTCTCTTCTGTTCTCCCATGCTGTTCATTAGCTCTACTTTGTCATCTTCTGGTAGATAGTCAGGAGGTCTATGAATCAAGAAAATTTAAAAATCAACCTTAGTCAGATTTGCAGGACACACTTGTAATTTCATTGTAACACTTTTCATAAAGTATGTAATTTGGCATAGAGTATAGTATGATGTAGATTTTTTGTTTTTTAAAAATTTAAATTCTTTATTGTTTAAAGTATTACATATGTCTCCTTTTTCCCCCATTGACCTCTCCCTGGCTGTTCCCACCCCCCAGCACATGCCCTCACCCCCCTACTGTCTGTGTTCATGGGTTATGCTTATATGCATGCATACAAGTCCTTTGGTTGATCTCTTACTACCCCTCCTCCTCTGCCTTCCCTCTGAGGTTAGACAGTCTGATTGATGCTTCTCTGTCTCTGGATCTATTTTTGTTCATCAGTTTATGTTGTTCATTATATTCTACAAATGGATGAGATCATGTGATATTTATCTTTCTCTGACTGGCTTATTTCGCTTAGCATAATGCTCTCCAGTTCCATCCATGCTGTTGCAAATGGTAAGAATTCCTTCTTTTATACAGCAGCGTAGTATTCCATTGTGTAGATGTACCACAGTTTTTTAATCCACTCATCTGCTGATGGGCCCTTAGGCTATTTCCAAATCTTAGCTATTGTAAATTGTGCTGCTATAGAATAAAAAAGACCCCAAATAGCCACAGCAATCCTGAGCAAGGAGAACAAAGTTGGAGGGATCACAATACCAGATATCAAGCTGTATTACAAAGCCGCTGTTCTCAAAACTGCCTGGTACTGGCATAAGAACAGACACATAGACCAATGGAACAGAACAGAGAACCCAGAAATCGACCCAACCTATTATGCTCAATTAATATTTGACAAAGGAGGCAAGAGCATACAATGGAGTCAAGACAGTCTCTTCAATAAATAGTGCTGGGCAAATTGGTCAGATACATGCAAAAAAATGAAACTAGACCACCAACTTATACTATACACAAAAATAAACTCAAAATGGATAAAGGACTTAAATGTAAGACGGGAAACCATAAAAATCTTAGAAGAATCCATAGGCAGCAAAATATCAGACATACGTCGTAACATATCTTTACCGTTACAGCTCCTAGGACAATGGAAACTAAGGAGAAAAAAAGCAAATGGGACTTCTGTTAGTTTTTGATGGCCTTCCTCTAAAACAGCGGTTCTCAACCTGTGGGTCGCGACCCCTTTGGGGGTCGAACGACCCTTTCACAGGGGTCACCTAAGACCATCGGAAAACACATATATAATTAAATATTGTTTTTGTGGTTAATCACTATGCTTTAATTACGTTCAATTTGTAACAATGAAATTGGAGGTCACCACAACATGCGGAACTATAGTAAAGGGTCGCGGCATTAGCAAGGTTGAGAACCACTGCTCTAAAAGCATTTAGTGACTGCAAAATACTAAAAAGACCTATTAACGTTCAGTGATTTATTCAGTTTTAGGTGATACAAACCTAAATCAAATGGGCATTAGCTTAAGAAGATATTTTTTGGCCTAGGTATGCAGCTACATTTGGGTCAAGCTGCCTTCCAGTGTCCCAACACTTTCATTAGAAATTACTCTTTCCAGTTTTTGGTACGGCTTTCCTATGTTTGGCTTTATATTTAGGTAGACTATCCCATTTGATTGTTGTATCCACAATCTCCTGCCTTCTCAGCTCTTTTCACAGATTAGATCTCTTCCCTATGGAAATAGCCAGTTATTTCCCCCCAGTGGTACCAGCAGAAGTCCTGGGGATAGCGCTCATGTGATTGTCAAATGTGAACCTGTGCCCATTCCAGGCAATCGGGTACTCTGATTCACCTGGTCTGGGTCACAAGCCAAACCTTGGGACCTAGGGGTAGAATCACTCTTATTCAAACCACCACAAAGATATGTGGTGGTTGCCTAAAGGAAAATGAAGTTGTAATTATCACACAAAGGTGGAGTGACTAATGAGTAGGTAATGAAATTAGGTGTCTATTATAGTAGCTCACCAGAGTGAAAGGTTGCCATGAGTCATTTTGAAGTTTTGTTGTCTTTGCTCTTCCTTGGAGTCCAGTGTTGACAAAATGTTTCTTGTTAATTGCCTCAGTTTTCTACTCTTCAGCTTCTCTTTGATTCTTCTTCATCTCCTCTGTCTGGTTTATATCCTCACTAGTCCCTGGAAACTCCGTGGTGAGGAGCTGACTGCCGCCTGCCCTTTGCCCTCCGTTTCTCTTGGACCTGTCTGCTGCAGCTGACACCCCTCCTCATACGGTTCTGGCACTGCCTCCGCCCTCTTGCCAGTCCTTCCCTGTTTGTTTGTTCTAAAACTGACCTTAATAGTCATACCTCTTCCCCGTGCCTGCCGTCTTCCCTGGTTTAATACTTTCAAGGCCATTTTTATGTAGGTGGCTTGCAATTCTACTTTTCCAGTTTTACCTGTTCTCATTTTGAGAGTTTTGCTTCACTGTATGTTATATTGTTACATGGGGCTGAGTTGCTCTCATCATCAAGAAGAACTCATCATCTTGCTTTCCTCCTTCATTCCCAACCCCCAACCCCCCCAAAACAATAACACCTTGCACTATTTTACTAATAGCAACAAACATCCTGCTGTTTGCTCAAATTCAGAATGAAAAGAAATTCCATGATCTTTTCTATCTCTGAATAAAGAATATTGGTCTCATTATGAGTGTACATCTCAACACAACTGAAATGCTTTCATGCAGTAATAGTAAGTGTATGGACATGTCTTATGTGTATTCATTAACACCCATATATTCATAAAATCAGTCTGATTATCTCCACATGTAATCTGCTTTTAAAATTCCAGGTAGATTTCCCTTGTAACCTAAGATGTTACAGAAAATGCAATTTAACCTATGTAAAACATCATTAGTAAGTATATACATACTGTAAAGTAAAACTGTTCTTTTTTTTTTTAAATATATATTTTATTGATTTTTTTTACAGAGAGGAAGGGAGAGAGAGAGTTAGAAACATCGATGAGAGAGAATCATCGATCAGCTGCCTCCTGCACATCTCCTATTGGGGATATGCCCGCAACCCAGGTACATGCCCTTGACCGGAATCGAACCTGGGACCTCTCAGTCCGCAGGCCGACGCTCTATCCACTGAGCCAAACCGGTTTTGGCATAAAACTGTTCTTAATTCAAACCCCTGTGGCTGTTCTCATCCATTGATACTTGAATATATTCGTGCTTTTGTGATTATGCTAATTAATCACATTTCCCTCTTGGGATTTAAAATCCTGGGGTCAATGAGTTTGTTTTGTCTACATAGGCTTTGTTGTAGGGCTTTGTGAAGGGCACATAGAAGCATGTAGTAAACATTAGTTGTTAATAGTCACAGTAGTTAACTGATTATTGTGTGAGCCAGGTTCTGTATAAGCATTATGAAAATCATAATGCTTACTATCCCTACTAAGAGAAGAGGCAATTTACTTAAAGAATTAAGTAACTTTCTCACAATTGCACAGCTAGCAGATAGTGGGGTGTGGACTCAGAACCAACGTCCACAACTTTATTATTTGTTATTTATTACTTAAAGTGTGTTTTTATTGATTTTAGAAAGAGGAAGGGAGAGGGAGAGAAAAACATCACCAGCTGCCTCCTGCAGGCTCCCTGCTGGGAATCCAGCCCGAAACATGAAAAGAAGTGCAGAATTCTCAAATGCCCTTATCATCTAGTGATCAGAATATGAATATTGTAAAGTATAGTAATTGTCATATTTTATTTTCTGAGAAAGAACAAATATTTAAAGTTGGAAGCACCGAATCAGGTAATGGGGAGGGTGTGCAGTAAACATGAACCATGTAAAGAAAATACTTGCTTTTTGTACTGGAAGTCAGAGCAGGCATATGGATGCAATTGAAGGTGAGCTGGAATTGTAAGAGCACTGTGCAAAAGCATAGGGGGATGGCAGACGATCTGAAGGCCAAATAGAGGATGGTCATGAACTTTAGGTAAAGACATGGGCCCACTAGATGAGTGAAAAAGCATAATAATTTCATTCACATATCTCCATGAGTGTTCAGAAGTGGCAGAAATAATGCTCAGTGTTTAAGGACTGTGGGGAGATGGGCTGGGTAACACGGTGTTACAGGTTTGAAAGCTATATCTAGAGAAAGGAATTGCAGCTAATGAATTTTTCCATCGTTTATTTTGAAGGACAAACTTTCTGCCATATTTTCTCCATGTTCCTTTGATGGCAGTTCCATCAGACAGCCTTTTTCTCTGTGCTGCTGCTACCACTTTATGTTAAATCCAATCACCATTCATGAACTGAACGTGACAGCCTCGGGGAGGAAGAAGGGGGGCTTAACTTATAAACACAGCCCACATGGGCGGCCCAGGTTCACAAGGAGAAACAAGGTGTCTAACATATCAGCCCAACACGGCATAGCTCTGCTGCCCTGGACCAGGGCCCAGTGGAGCCTCGGAGCACAGTGTAATGTTGCCAAGTAGGTAGCAGCCACAATATCAGGAAGGGCTCATGAGGGAGGTCAGTACAAGATGCTCAAGCAGCTGAGGCCACCTGTCAGTAACAGCTCACCTAACAAACTGACAAACCCCTTTTCTAACTGCATCTCGCAACTGTGTAGTGCTTTATAGATTTACAAAGAATTTTCACAGACATCACATACATTGTTTCATTTAGGATAATGGTATTAATCTCTAACTCTTAGTGGAACCAGTTACAAAGAGTAAGACTCATGGATATACATCTCTTCAACTTAAAATTCTACCAATCCACCCCCTGGTGGAAAGCTAATACTTTCAAAAAATTAGAAAATAAGAAAAATTCTAATGCTTTCCTGCTGCTTTATTTGTCCACCTAAGTGTGACCATTTTTATTTCATTTATATGAAGGCAATACACGTAACATGCTGTTTAAAAATGAGTGCGTGGGTTTGGATTGGTGGCAGGCCTGTCCCCCAGGGTCTCTCATATGCCCCAGGCCAGAGCACGCTGCAGCCTTGAACCATCGCCCGGCCTCTGCTCATGGGCTGCAGGAACCGAAGCAGGTTGCACAGCGGAAAAGAAAAAGAAAAAAAAGTGGCCACTGCCCTGGCTGGTGTGGTTCGGTTGGTTGAGCATAGTCCCATGGACCGAGAGGTTGCTGGTTCAATTCCTGGTCAGGGCACATGTGTGAAAGAATGGAGGAAGAGTGAAAATAAAATATTGGGTCAAGTTTCAACTGGATATAATGTATTCAAAATAATGTGTATTTCATTTCAGCATGCTCCTTATGATGCAATGGTTATGGTAAGCATCAGCTATTATGTTGATGAGAAGATTTTGGAGAATGAAGGAAGATGGAAGGTATGTTAGAACAAATATTTTAGCTTTCTTTCTCCTCATGTTTTTATAAATATAATATTCTTAATTCTTCCCTACTCACAGGGTTCAGAAAAAGCACGGGATATGCCACTTCCAGAGGAGCTTGTTTTCACTGTGGATGAGAAAGTATTAAGTGACATCAGTCAAGCTAAAGCCCAGTATCTCAAGCAGGTAGATTTTTTTTTTAACTTTTCTTTTAGATAGTAATGCCTTCTCTCTTTTTTTATCCTATGTTTTTTTGTTACTTTTTTTTTTTTTTTTTTTCTTGAGAGAGAGAGAGAGAAACATCAATTGGTTGCCTCCCATACTCACCCGACCAGGATAGAACCCGCAACCTTTTGGTGTACTGGACAACACTCCAACCCACAGAGCCACCTGGCCAGGGCATGCTATCTCTTTTAACTATTGTATATAAAAATAAGTGTGTACTTGGCTAGTATCTAAGTATGACAGTATGAAACACTTAAATTATAGCTCTAATAACTGTGTCTGGATTACTTTAATGTAAATGATAACCTGGCTATCTTTGGGATGTTCTTCTTAGCTGATTATTCACCGTTCCCGTTTAATTCTTTTTGTTAGGCATCTGATCTGCAGGTTGTGGCGTATTCCTTTACACATTTTGGCAAAAAGCTAACCAAGAAGAAGATGCTTCACCCTGATACATTTATTCAGCTTGCACTTCAGCTGGCCTATTATAGACTTCATGGACGGTGAGGGACATTCATTTTCTTTTCTTTTTTTATTGCTTAAAGTATTACAAAGGGTATTACATATGTCTCCTTTTTCCCCCCGCCCTTGACAATCCCCTGGCCTCCCCTACTCCCCAGTGTCTTATGTCCATTGGTTATGCTTATATGCATGCATATAAGTCCTTCGGTTGATCTCTTACCCCCCCGCTTCTGCCCCCCAACCCTCCCCGGCCTTCCTGCTGCAGTTTTCATTTCTTCTTTTTTTTTTTTAATTTTTTATTAGTTAAGGTATTACAAATGTGTCCTCATCCCCCCCATTAACCCCCATCCTTCCCCCCCCCCCCCCCACTCATGCTCTCATCCCCCTGTTGTCCATGTCCATTGGTTTGGCTTATATGCGTGCATACAAGTCCTTTGGTTGATCTCTTCCCCTTACCCCCTCTCTCCCCTACTTTCCCTCTGGGGATTGATAGCCTGATCGCTGTTTCTCTGTCTTTGGATTTGTCCCTGTTCATCAGTCTATGCTGTTCTCTATATTCCACAAATGAGTGAGATCATGTGGTATTTATCTTTCTCTGACTGGCTTATTTCACTTAGCATAATGCTCTCCAGTTCCATCCATGCTGTTGCAAAAGGCAAGAGTTCCTTCTTTTTTACCGCAGCATAGTATTCCATTGTGTAGATGTACCACAGTTATTTAATCCACTCATCTGCTGATGGGCACTTAGGCTGTTTCCAAATATTAGCTATGGTGAACTGTGCTGCTATGAACATAGGGGTGCATATATCCTTTCTGATTGGTGTTTCTGGTTTCTTGGGATGTATTCCTGGAAGTGGGATCACTGGGTCAAATGGGAGTTCCACTTTTAGATTTTTGAGGTAGCTCCATACTGTTCTCCACAGTGGCTGCACCAGTCTGCATTCCCACCAGCAGTGCAGAGGGTTCCTTTTTCTCCACATCCTCTCCAACACTTGTTGTTTGTTGATTTGTTGATGATAGACATTCTGACAGGTGTGAGATGATACCGCATTGTCGTTTTGATTTGCATCTCTTGTATAATTAGTGACTTTGAGCATGGAGACATTCATTTTCCATCTTCAGGCTCTTGAACTCCAAAGATATATCTTTACCATAGCTACTTCATTCTAACTCCCAGTGTTTTTTTCCTACCTTTTTTTTCCTGAGAGAGAGAGAGCGAGAGCAAGAGCGAGAGAGAGAGAGACAGACAGACAGACAGACATTGATTGACTGCTTCCGGCATGCACTGTGACTAGGATTAAGCTCGCAACCTGGGCATGTGCCCTGACCAAAAACTGAACTGGCAACCTTTCGGGACAAGGGACGATGCTTAACCAACTGAGCCACACCCACCAGGGCATGTCACCTCACATTTTCTGTCAACAATCCAGTTGCGGCTTAGCTCGGTGCCTCTGCCTTCAGCTCTGTTGTGAGGTTATGGTCAGGGTGTCAGCTAGGGCTGTGTTCTCATCTGCAGGTACTTTCAGAGCGGATCTGCTTCAGGCTCACACGTGTGGTTATTTGTGGGATTTAGTTCCTCCCAGGCTGTTGCACAGAGGCCTCCCTCAGTTTCTCGCCACCTGGGCCTCTCTGCAGGGCAGCTCCCAGCATGGCAGCTGGCTTTCCTCGGAGCAAGGAGGTGAGAGTAAGAGTGAGTGAGCTCTTAGTGAAGTAAGTCACTAAGTCCATCCCACATTCAAAGTGAAGGGCACGAATAGCGAGAGACAGGGATCACTGTGGGGCAGTCACACGGGCCACCTGCCACAGACTCCAGTGTGCACACCCGGACTGCAGCCAACCCTTTGAAACACTCCATTTCACACTAGGCCCTGTGTACCAGGGTAGTTTTTATTCTTTGATATTGGAATTAGCATCTTCGTTGTTGGAAGTCTCAACTGTAGTCTTGTGTTAATAGAACTTAGTCTCTGACTAAAGCCAGCGTAAGGTAATAACAGAGCATTTTTGTTAGAATAATACATTCTCTTATTCCGTTTTTTTCCTTGTAGCCCTGGTTGCTGCTATGAAACAGCCATGACAAGATTTTTTTATCATGGCCGAACGGAGACGGTGCGATCGTGTACAGTGGAAGCCGTCAGGTGGTGCCAATCCATGCAGGATCCTGCGGCCAGTGTGAGCGTTTGAAAAGGAGAATGAACAGAATTTCTTTGTTCTCAGGGAGCCTTGACCCTTAAAGAACTAGCTTCTTTCCCTCAACTCCCCTGGCTCAGTAAAATGCTGTCAGACTTTTTTCGCCTGAAGTTTTCGAAACATCTGTTTGTTCATTTGCCAGGGAAGGACATAGGTGGAAAGAACAGGAAAGGGGAGCCCCTGAGAGGAAGCCCATGGGTGCCTTTTCTAAGCACAGCATCGTCAGTGCCTCGAGTATTTTACTACGATTGCTCTCCCTTTAGAGTAACACCAGGGAGATGCAGACACCCCCAAGGTGTTTCGAGAGGACATTTTTCTTTTTAAATATATCGATTTTTTTTCAGAGAGGAAGAGAGAGGGATAGAGTTAGAAACATCAATGAGAGAGAAACATCGATCAGCTGCCTCCTGCACACCCCCTACTGGGGATGTGCCCGCAACCCAGGTACATGCCCTTGACGGGAATCAAACCTGGGACTCTTCAGGAGAGGACGTTTTTCTGAATGTGGTGGAACGTTTCTGAAATCACAGATTCTTGTTCTCATATGTGAGAACCAGAACAGTTTTATTTGTTTTGTTTTGTTTCTAAATGTTTTGGAAGCATTTAGACAACAGGATAGTTCCTTCCCACTACTCCATTATATTTGTTTTTTACTTTTGATAGACATAGTATATGTTACTTTGTTTTAATTTCATAGCACTGCATCATTATCATTTTGTATGACTATTCTTTAGTTTGAAGTCAGAGTTGCTTCTTTCTTTACACTTGACAATGTTGCTTCAGTGCTGCCCATAAGTTCCTGTTTTCCTGTCTCTGGAAAAAAAGAACCGAGATGCAGGGCACGTAGGAAAGGAAAAGCAGCGACAGCGAGGAAAAGACACGGCAGCACGTGTGCCAAGGCCTTCCTGGAAAACCCTGCCCCTCCCCCATTACCCGCAGCCTCATTCCTTTGAGCTCAGGTTTTTTTATTTGTTTGGTTTCTCTACCGTTTGTTATTGAAGTATCTCTTGTTTTTTTAACACAGGCTCTTGAGAGGAAGCAGATGATGTTACAAGCTTTTGCAAAACATAATAAAATGATGAAAGACTGTTCAACTGGAAAAGGTACTCACACTGTAATTACTCTAACTTCAACAAAATTCTCTCATGTTGACAATATTTTCTAACTTCGGGTTGGGGGTTTCGTTGCAGGATTTGACCGTCATCTTTTAGGTCTTTCACTCATAGCAAGAGAGGAAGGTCTCCCTGTCCCAGAGCTCTTTACCGACCCACTCTTCTCCAGAAGGTAATAGAATGTAGTGCTTTATGTTGCACGGTTTTCCACGGCTTTACATTGCACATTTTGGTTTTACCTTGAGCTTAATGTATGTTTTGCTGGAATAAATTTGAGTGTCTGGAAAGGAGAAGGCCAATTCCAAGAGAGTGGGTCGGTAGCCCGGGTTCTGCTCTAAGCACATTTCCTATGTCCTTGAGCTTCCAGGACCACTTTACCGCCTCCCCACTCCCACTCCCACTCCCATCCCCGTGTTGAAAGCTCTTCAGAAACCGTGTGAGCTTCTGTAAGCCTCATGTAATCTCTTTCCTTTGTGCTGCAGTGGAGGAGGTGGAAACTTTGTTCTCTCGACAAGCCTGGTTGGTTACCTAAGGGTCCAGGGAGTGGTGGTGCCCATGGTACACAGCGGCTACGGGGTGTTCTACCACATCAGAGACGACAGGTGAGGCACTCCGCTGATTCTTCCTGTGCTGTAGAGCAGGGGTCCCCAGACTTTTTAAACAGGGGGCCAGTTCACTGTCCCTCAGACCGTTGGAGGGCCGGACTATAGTTAAAAAAATAAAACTATGAACAAATTCCTATGCACACTGCACATATCTTATTTTGAAGTAAAAAAACAAAACGGGAACAAATACAGCATTTGTATTTGCATGTGGCCCGCGGGCCGTAGTTTGAGGACCCCTGCTGTAGAGTAAGAAAGCTATCATGTTTGTTGTTTGAATGTCTTTCCTACACTGTTATTCCGATTGTTTTATCACCTGCCTCTTGTTAATGGGTAATTTTATTTTATTTATTTTTTTACCACTGAGGCATTGATTGTGTATTTCATTTGTGTTTCTGGAGTTTGAGTTAAGTTTGTGGAAAGAATAAGAAAGAAAATATTAAAGCCTGGTAGGGGAGAGAGAGGTGAGAAAAAAGGACACATGGAATTGAGAGAAAGGCTTGAAGGCCCTGTTCACAGCCTGGCAGGCTCTTCACAGGGACCTTTCCGAGCCTGGGGAGCTTATAAAACATAATGTGGCGAGTGACGGCCGAGGAGTGGCGGGTGAGGGTGTGTCTATCCTCTTCCCCTGACATTTCAACAAAACAACCACCTGTAAATTCAACAAAGAAGTCCCTGCTCAACACGGATGCACGCCTGAGAGCTGCATACCGGAGCAACTCAGAAAAAAATAACAATAATGTAGCTGCATTCAGCACGCAACTAAGAAGTGAGCAGGCTTGGTGGCACTGCAGATGGAAAATGCATGTAAACTGTCTGGAAGGGTTTTCTCATTGATTGTTAAGTGTGAAATGGTATGACTTAAAGAAAATGGGTTTATTTTTGAAATAGCATCTTATTTTAAATGTACTACATGCTCAGTATAAAAATTCTGTACAATAATGAAAATTGTAGATTGTATTATAAATATTTTCATGTCCTTTGTGTGAATTTTATTCATTTAATATTATTTAAAGCAATTCCCAATGTATAGACTATTCTTTGAGCAATTTTAATGGTTGAATAATGTCTAGTCTTAAGGATTTCCATAATTTAACCTCTTAATGTACAATTTCAAGTGTTTCGTTATTACAAATAATGATAATATATCCTTCCTTATTTCATCACATCATTACCAACTCTAAGCATTCTAAAACATTCTTTACCAATTTATAGGGGAAAGCAACAAAAATAATTCTTTACTGATGAACAAGCCATTTTTTCTTTGTTACTGGCCTCTGTGTACATTTTTTTTGTGAAGATAGTTATTTCTTTCTATAATTTAGAAAGATAACGGAATTTCTGAGAAATTTGACATTTAAATAGGAATTGTTGATCTTTGCAAAGGAATATATTTAGATGTTGCTAACTTTGATAATTACATGCAGTGTAGCTGGAAAATGACAAGTTATGCGAAACCACTGGGTGAAAACAGGCAGGTCTTTCTGTAGGTTCCTGTGTGTCTTCGAGCAAATATAATCCCCTTGGATATTAGTCTCATCATTTTATCCTGGCCAGAGCACGTTTTTACTTCATTCTGCTGAACTAAAGCACATGTCAAAGATATATACTGTCTCTTTATAGTGTTGTGAAAATTGCACGGTTGTCCACGGCTTTACATTGCACAACATTTTGGTTTTACCTTGAGCTTAACGTATGTTTTGCTAGAATAAATTTGAGGATCTGGAAAGGAGAAGGCCAATTCCAAGAGAGTCAGTCAGTAGCCCAGTTTCTGCTTTAAGCACATTTCCTATGTCCTTGAGCTTCCAGGGCCACTCTACCCCTTGCCAGACCGGGGATTTTTTTCATCAGGAGGACGGAGGAGATATGTGGAAGATGGTCCCAAGAGAGTTTCTCTCTGGCTTTCCTAGAAGTAGCTCCCCCCACCTTATATTTCTTTATTTTATTTTATTTTATTTTATTTTATTTTATTTTATTTTATTTTATTTTATTTTATTTTATTTTATTATTTTATTTATTTATTTATTTATTTATTTATTTATTTATTTATTACTCTTTTCAGGTCCTGTATTCTTCCTTAAAATAGTTCAGGCTTGCCCTAACCAGTTTGGCTCAGTAGATAGAGTGTCGGTCTGCGGACTGAAAGGTCCCAGGTTCGATACTGGTCAAGGGCATGTGCCTTGGTTGCGGGCACATCCCCAGTAGGAGGTGTGCAGAAGGCAGCTGATCGATGTTTCTCTCTCATCGATGTTTCTTACTCTCTATCCCTCTCCCTTCCTCTCTGTAAAAAATCAATAAAATACATATTTTTTAAAAGTTCAGGTTTTATTGCAAACAATGGCATGAATTCGTATTCCACCTCATTCCATTCAGAGCACGTGCAGGAAGGTCTGTTTTAGGGGAGAGGTGGGTGTTTCTATAACACAGCAAGGCCTTGCTCCAAGCACTGGGAGTTCTGGCTCATGTATTGTCCCCCTTTGTACTTAGTCATCAGTTACGTAGCGCATTCAGTGTTCCCAGCATTATGTGTAACGAAGCCTGTACTTTCCATGCGTCAGCTTCCATGTACCTCATGCCAGGCGGAAGTCGCGCTTCACACGCTAGCAGCCAGCCATGGGGAGCTTTTCGGGGTTGTGATTTTCGCCTTGTACTTCATTGTTTATGACTTGTTCTTTGCAGGTTTGTGGTGGCCTGCTCAGCCTGGAAATCCTGTGCGGAGACTGACGCAGAGAAGCTGGTTCAGCTGATTTTCCATGCTTTCCAGGATATGATGCAGCTGATGAACTCCGCTCATCTCTAGAGACTCACTATGCACTAAGCACTTACCAGTTAGACCATGTAAACTGGGTGCTGGGGGTGGGTTGCTGAGGGGAGGTAAGGAGGAGGGTCAACTTGAAGGAAATGTAGAAATTAATAGAGTCATGCTCTCTAAACCTATACTGGCATACGAAGTAGAAATATTTTTAAGCTTCCTCTGATGCAGCAGCAATGCAAATTTTAATATAGTGATTATAGAACTGTGCAAAGTTTAAGCCTCAACAATGCAATTCTACAAAATTTAACAATGCAACTCTAATTTTAACTTTTAAATATTTTTATTGATACCTGTAAAGGTTATAAATTCCTTCTCTGAACATCATGGTAGAGCAGTGATTTTCAACTTTTTTCATCTGATGGCACATCAAAAAATGTATTTTTGGCCAGTATGACCAAAAAATAGGTATAATTTTGATTCATTCACCTTGGACAGCTATTCTGTTTGCTGTTGTCACTTTTTTTTTTGACAGTCTAAGGGAAAAGAGGTCAGTGTCCCTGACTAGTCAGTTATTAAAAATGCCACGGCACACTGGTTGGAAATCACTATTATAGAGTCTATCTTTCAGGCACTTTAACATTTTCTAATTGCCAAAGGGTATGAGATACCTGGTTGGATGCTAATTTCCCTGAAATCAGTGTCTTTCACATTCACCACAGGGATACAAGCTTGCTATATTTGGGAAAGACCACTACAAGTTTGCCGGGAGCCAGTCCATCCTTGCTATTTCAAGGGACTTGGCATATATGGCATACTCTTCTTAATATGTTTGCTCACCTTCTTGGCACTATGTGTTTTAACCAAGGTCACCTCTCTGAGAAAGGTTGTTTCCCCAGGTAGGGATTTTCCCCTGAAGTTAGGGAGGGAATAAAACCCCTTAACTAAAGTGCCAGGCGGGTAATTAATCACTTTAACTACAAACAATCATGCTTAAGCTACATAATCTTTACTCCCTGGAATGGAGATAAGAAACGCCCTAACCTTTGGAATAGAGATTGATAGGATTGGAATCAACTGGTATAAATACAGATGTAACAAGACAACAGGACACAGAACCTAGAGACAGAAGAACTTCGCTGGAGAGAACATGGCAAAAGATCCTGGACAGAAACTGGCCACAGAACCTAGAGAGACAGCCTGGCTGAAGAACCTAGAGACAGAACCTGGATAGAACATGGCAAGAGAACCTGACTAGAACCTGGTGACTGAACCTGGCTGGAGAACCTGGACAGAACCTGGCTGGAGAACCTAGCGAGGGAACATGGCTACAGAACCTGGCTGGAGAACCTAGCGATAGAACATGGACACAGAACCTAGCTGGAGACCCTAGACAGAACTTGGCTGGAGATCCTGGCTAGAGGAACCTGGCTATGATGATCGCCCGAAGGCTGCCTCCGTGTCATTCCTTCTTTGCCAACTCCGTCCACACCTTTCGGGACCCCTGGACCTGCTGGGGTTGGACCCCAGCACAAGTTAATGGTGATTAACAAAAAATAGTTTCTGCTGACCTGGCCAGGGTGGCTCAGTTGATTGGAGTGTCATCCCGTGCACTGAAAAGCTGTGGGTTCAATTCCTGGGCAGAGCGCATACCTAGGTTGTGGGTTTGGTCCCTGGTCGGGACATGTATGCAAGGCAGCCGATCGATGTTCTCTCTCACATCCATATTTCTCCCTAATTCTCTCCCTTCCCCCCTCTCCCTCTTTCTGAAATCAATGAGCATATCTCCTGATGAGGATTAAAAAAAAAATGTTTCTGTTGAACAGACAAAAAGTAAGTTGTAGTAGGGAGGTTTCTACCCTCTGATACTTATTAAAAAACCCCTAACAAAATTCATTTTAGTATATTGTTGTCATTAGTTTGTGAATATAAAATTAAAGCACTTATATTTAAAATTAGGTATCAGAATTAATGACTACAAGGATTAAATATTGAATCAGATTCTCAGGATTTTAGTGGTTGTTTTTTTTTCTCTTCTGTTCAATTTTGTAGTTTCTACCCTCAGAAAATAAAACTCAAAATCATATAGCTTCTTGTGTTTGAATAAGTGGTTCATTCCTGTTTGACCTTATACTTTCTGACCTGTTATAAATTGTTTGTAATAATCCACCCCGAACTTCCTGCTTCTGACAACGTATTATTCCTCACGACTGTGTCAGTTGACAGTGCCCGTTTGGAGGTCTGCTTCTGTCTTGCCTGAGTCATGGATGCAGCTGCTGGACTGTGGCTGGTAAGTCTGAGATGGCTTTACCCACTGCCTGGGGACTGGTGGCCGGGGCTCTCTCCACGTGCTGTCTGATCATTCGGTATTTTAACTGGATTTCTGTACTTGGCAGTGGGTGTTCTAAAGGGGAAAGGTAGAAGTTGCAGGGCCTCTTGAGGTCTAGGCTCTGAAGTCGCATGATGTCACATCTTTTGCATTCTGTTGGTTAAAACAAGTAACAAGGACAGTCCAGATTTAAGGGGTCAGGGGAAAAGTCTCACCTTTGGATTAAGAGGAGCAGCAAAGTCAATTTCATAAATGACTTTAAGAATGTAAGTAAAACCCTAGCTGGTTTGGCTGAGTGGGGCATTGGCCTGTGGACTGAAGGGTCCCAGGTTTGATGTCATGAATGCAGCTGCTGGCTGTGGCTGGCAAGTCTGAAATGGCCTTACCCACTGTCTGGGGAGTGGTGGCTGGGGCTCTCTCCACGTGCTGTCTGATCCTTCAGTATTTTAACTGGATTTCTATACTTGGCAGTGGGTGTTCTAAAGGGGAAAGGTAGAAGTTGCAGGGTCCTGGTTTCGATTCTGATCAAGGGCACATGCCCGGGTTGCAGGCTCGATCCCCAGCGGGGGGCTTGCAGGAGGCAGCTGATCAATGATTCTCTCTCAGCATTGATGTTTTCTCTCTCCCTTCCTTTCTGAAATCAATAAAAATATTAAAAAATAAATGAGACCCTCTTATAAAAAATGTAAATAGACACAAGAGGGGACATGACAATGGTAGCAATCTGTCACATAAAAATGACAATAGATTTAATAGATTGGTTGGATGTCCTTTTTGTTCTTATGTTTTCCTATGTTCTGAATTGGTAAGTCTGGTGTATTTCTTTGTGAAAAAATTCAGAGTTGGCTTCTATGAACTCTGGACCTTTTCCTCACTAGTACAGTTTTGTAGACTAAATTTCCAGGCACTTTAGTCATTTGGTGTATTGTTTTTAAATATTATCTAAATAGTATTTTAGCAATGGGTCACCTCCTAGAGAGGAGCCTCTCCTTACTCCTGCTTTAACACGTTTCCCTACATTGCCTCAAGTTAAAAATCACCCGGAATACTCTCTCCAGAGAGATTCTTGGGCCTCAACCCAGACCTACTGAGTCCATTTCCAGAGCAGATGCCCCATGATCCTCATCAGGCAACTTTGGGAATAATTACACAAGAGTAAGTTGAATTCTGCTCACATTGAGCCCCTTACCCCGTTCTCCTCTTGTTTAATCTGAAATTGTCTAATGATACACATGGTCACATTTGAAACATCTTTGGTAATACAGTATATGGTTTATTACAGGTAGAAGAATTTGGTTTGAATACCGACCTAAATAATTGATTTTGCTGAGGTAAACTGTGGAAAAAAAACCATTTCAATGTGGTTAGTTTCCAAGGGTTGCCTGAAATATTTCTGTTAGCCCTTCATATCTAAATATATTTCTTTCTTGTTAGAAGTGGGTTCACATCCTGGGAATATTAGTATTATTTGGAAAAAGTAATACAGTTGTTATAGAAAAAGAATTTTATTGATATTTCCAGTGTTACAAATTGTACTGATATATGTACAATAATTATTCATGAGTTTAAACATTTCTTTAAAAGAAATACTTGATATCTCTTTTTGCTTTACAGAATGAATGTGTGCCTGCAGAGTTACCTTGTCTGAGGGAAATTGTATCTTCTCTTGGACTGTCCTAAAGCTGGGGATACATTCATTTTTAAAAATCAATGCCCAGTAGAATAATTTGGAAACCTACCAAGGGAGAGAGTAGGCTTCTGAACAATTTATATTTTCTTTGTACTTGGGGAAAATGTTCTCAAAACATGCATCTACCCAACTGTTCAGGACCATAATAATTGTCCCTATGTCTGTGGCTTCTACTAACTCTACAGCTTTATATACCTGAACTTTGCTCTTTTTCCCCCCCGTATGTTTCTGAAAACTCAGGAAGAGCTAAGCTGTTAACATATTTCATCAAGAAATGTGTCTTGATGGTTTATAACTCCAAAATTTCAAATGTTGTAATAACAAACCCCCGATTGGATGTACCTGTATTTTACGATGACTTAGAAACTTCTTTTGCAAGTCAGCAAAAGTTGTAGAATGATTTGAGTTTATTTTTGTAAGATACACGGTAACAAGAGTTCATGAGGTCTGCGTCCCAGCCTGGACGCTGACCATGGAGAAGTAGATGCCCTTCTGTGCAAGCAGCTGCTGATGGGTGCCGTGCTCCCTGATCTTGCCGTTCTGAAACACCACTATCAGGTCTGCGTTCTGGATGGTGGACAGGCGGTGGGCGATCACAATGCAGGTGCGGCCTTCTCTGGCTTTGTCCAGGGCTTCTTGGACAACCTATTAATAAATCAGATCAGAAGTCTTACCTTAATTATATAAATACGTGTTAGCATTAAAGGAAATTAAAACATGTTACCATCCAAGCAATAAAATTTCTTTCATTTCTTATCTCTTTGAATATTTGCCTTTATACCTGTGTATTAATATAACTTGACATTACATACAGTTATGTTCTTTTCAATTATAATAAAAATGGATTGTCACTATAATCTTCACAAGTAGTTAAAATTTCTAACTAGTCACAAAATATATTACTTAACTAGTTCCCTTTTATTGAGTATTGTTTTCCATTAGAATTAATATGCTAAAATGATTTATGCAGCCTTTTCTTTTGAATGCTTTACTTTTAGTGTGTTTCTAAAAGTAATAATGATCATTTTAGAAAAATTGGAAAATACTGAAAGGAATAAGAAAATATTCTACCTCAAAATAACCACTGTCTAAATTTCTATTTTTTCTGTGCTTGCATATTATTTTTTTTTCATGGCTAATAGCACAAAAACCTGTTTTACAAATTAAATGGGATGTGAGGTGGAAGGCCATACTTTTTCACTTTCAGTATCCAGAGCGGATGTAGCTTCATCCAACAGCAGGATTCGAGGTTGTCTGATGAGGGCCCGGGCAATCGCAATCCTCTGTTTTTGACCTCCTGAGAGTTGAGTCCCCTTATCTCCCACTTTTGTGTCATATTTCTGCAAGTCGGTCAACAAAATTAATTAAGGTCCTAACCCAGCAAAATTACTAATGTTATAATGAGTAAACTTTTACTTAACATATGACAGTACTACTTATATGGAAAAATAATTTGGAATCAATAAAAAGTTTCTGTAACAGTGACATAGTTGTCCATTTAATGTTTTTTTACATTTAACAGAAAGTTTGTTTTCAAAATCCAAATAGAAAACGAGTGACCTTAATTCTCAGTGGTATTCTGCAACAAATTCTCAAATTCCTACCATTATCATCATGTCATCTGATGTCCTAAAAAGGTTAAATGTTAATGTCTAAGGTTTAAAATTCTTTAAAAATTGATATAATCAGATGACCAATAAGGAACCCAGTTTATTCTCTTTTAAACTCATTCACTCAAATATTTCCTGAGTATCTGTTATGCCCAGAACTGTGGGAAGTGTGTAAAAATGAATCAGGCTTTATTCCTACCCTGAAGGAATTAAAATCTAAAGAGAAATACATATTCAGCATTCAATACAAGTTAAGTAC